AAGCTGCTGGAAAGCATCAGACCTGACTCCGAGATTGCCCTACAGAACCGCGAAGGAACCCCTGAAGCTCTCAAGTACACGCTGCTGGAGCACCAGAAGTTGGGGTTGTCTTGGATGAAGTCGATGGAAGAGGGCGACAACAAGGGCGGTATCCTTGCCGATGATATGGGTCTGGGGAAGACCATACAAGCTATCGCTCTCATAGTGTCCCGCCCGTCGACTGACCCTGAGCGCAAACCCACCCTGATCATTGCCCCCGTTGCGTTAGTGCAACAATGGAAACGAGAGATCGAACGGATGGTTAAGCCCGGAAAACATCAACTTTCCATCTGGGTATTGCATGGCGATAAACGGCTCACTTTCAGAGAACTGAAGCGGTACGACGTGGTTCTCACCACCTTCGGCACACTGGCCGCAGAATTGAAACGGAAGCAGAAGTACGAGGAGCTAGAGGAACGGGATGTTAACCTGGCGAGACAAGCCCTGGACACTCTTCCTCTTCTGGGGCGGCGTTGTAAATGGCATCGTGTCATTGCGGATGAAGCCCAATGCATTAAGAATCGGAATGCAAAAGCTGCGCTTGCGTGCTGCCAGCTCAATACTACCTACCGCTGGTGCATGACAGGAACTCCTATGATGAACAATGTCGAAGAGTTACACTCGCTGATCAAGTTTCTGCGTATACGCCCCTACTCCAATATCGAGACATTCAATCGCGTGAGTATTCCCTGACCCCATTAAGATAGTCAACGGAAGTTTAAATTGACCTTGTATTCTAGGACTTCACTCGGCCATTGAAATCTAGCCCCGCCATGCGCGAGAAGGCTATGCTCCAGTTACAGGTCTTGTTGAAAGCCATTCTTTTGCGGCGAACTAAGAGCTCGGAAATTGACGGCAAGCCGATCTTGCAACTACCGCCCAAGGTCTCCGAAAGAGTCCACGCTGTTTTTAGCGAGGAAGAGCAAGAGTTCTACAATACTTTGGAGTCACGCAGTCAACGCGAGGTGGACCGATATCTCCAACAAGGAGTGGGACGCAACTATTCCAATATTTTGGTTCTACTACTTCGACTTCGACAAGCGTGCTGCCATCCCCATTTGATCAAGGACTTCACCACCGAAGTCAATGCCGCTGAAGAGGGCATGGATCTTATTGCCAATGCGAAAGCATTCGGCGCTGAAGTCGTTGCTCGACTCAAGGACAACACCGAGCTAGAATGCCCAATCTGTATCGATGCTGTTGAAAATCCCGTCATTTTCTTCCCTTGTGGTCATGGAACCTGCGCGGAGTGCTTTTCCAGAATTGCGGACCCTGAAATGGCCCTACGGAACGGGCGCGATGACGGAGGCGAAGTAAAGTGTCCCAATTGCCGCGCAAAGGTGGATCCAAAGAAAATCACCGATCATCGGTCGTTCAAGAAAGTGCATTTCCCTGATGAGTCCGACGAAGCAGATGGTGTTGATTCTACCAAAGATACGGAAGGCACCAACGACGAGGATAGTGACGATGACAGCGATGATGATAGCGACGACGCTGGAGGTCTATCTCGGTTCATTGTCAAGGACGATGATGAGGAAGAAGGACCTTCTACGAGAAGCAAGCGAGCGAAGGGCAAGGGCAAAGCAAAGAACAAGAAGTCCCTTGCGGAACTCAAGAAGGATGCTCAGAAGAATAAGAAGGCGAAGCTCAAGTACCTGCGTCGTCTCGAAAAGACCTGGATGTCAAGTGCCAAGATCGAAAAGGCCATGGAGATCTTGCGCGATGTCTACCATCGAGACGGCAACGAGAAAACCATCATCTTCAGCCAGTTCACGTCCCTGCTCGACTTGCTGGAAATTCCTATCGCTCGTCAAGGATGGGACTACCGACGCTACGACGGGAGCATGCGACCAGCCGATCGAAACACATCCGTGATGGACTTTACCGACAACGAAGACTGCAGAATTATGTTGGTATCGCTGAAAGCCGGCAACGCCGGCCTGAACCTCGTCGCAGCATCCCAGGTCATCATTTTCGACCCCTTCTGGAACCCCTATGTCGAAGAGCAGGCAGTCGACCGTGCCCATCGCATTGGACAGGTTCGTCCTGTCCAGATCCACCGCATAGTCGTGAAGGATACCGTCGAAGACCGTATCCTTGAATTGCAGGATAAGAAGCGGGAGCTTGTCGAGGGTGCTCTGGACGAGAAGGCTTCGAGCAATCTCTCCAGACTCGGAGCCCGCGAACTCGCATTTTTGTTTGTAAGTCAACAGCCATCCTACCCCTATAATTCTACAGTTGTACTAACCGTTTCGTCTCCAGAACATCCGCTCTTAATCATTTCCTCTACATCAATCTGATATTTACATGGCGTTTGCGGATTCCCAGCACGACAAGATACCCTAGACCCCTTGCCCCTTTTCATTTACCCCTACTTACTGTCCTCATTGTTTGCACTTTCCTGCATCTTCCCATTTGCTCCCCACAGTTTGTGTTCGTATTCATCAGCCATCCCCTGCACAACATTGCCATATCATGTCTAGAATGAACTTTTTGTTTAGCTTACTGTAGAAAGAAGGATGTTTGTTTCTTTCACAATGACTCGGAAACCGACTTCCGAGATCGTTCATCTACAGCCACATATCACTTCAATACCCTACCTACATCTTAATTATCTAGCTACTACTAGAATGCAAGTATTGCTTAATCGAACATGACTATGCTCTCGACCCCATAATCTACTAGGTGGTGAATATTAACATGCAAAACCAAATTAACCGAACTAACCCAAACCCCACAACCAGACACCAATTAAGCACAAAGTTTAGTTATCTACATAGTAGTAGTATATATCTACTAGGTAGTAGTTTTGGTAGTATAAGCAAGGATGTCAATCTCAACCCAACACACACACACACACACACACATTCATTTCAGCCTGATCAATAATCACACCGGTGACGTCACTTTGTTATTGGGTGAGTGGGTGGGGGTGGGAGGAAAGTCCACACTTTTCTTTTTCTTTCTATTGATCGGCGGGTTATGCATATTGGAGTGTACTAAGGGAGATGAGGAATACCTAGGTATGTATTCGGTTTGTTGTCAGTGGGTAGTGGGAATAAATTTTATATGCTGAGTTTGGTGGGGGCTGTTAGGGGTGCGATTGAGTTTGTTGGGGTTTGAATTGGTTTTTGGTTTTTGGGTTGGTTTTGTGTTTTATCTAAGTAAGGGGGGGAATTGGGATATTATGAGATTCAAGTTTACACACTGTATACAGTAGAAAAAGCGAAGAGAATAGAGAGAGAGTATGTAAACTTTTTTTCGTCCAACAGTATAGCTGATGGACGGATAAACAGTGTCACCGTTTCAAAAAGGAACTTTGTAGAGATAATCAGAGTCTAGACTACTAGTGGTAAATATTGCAAATGCATAATCATGCCGACCGTTCTCGGGCTTAATTTCCTTCCCTCCGCTATCATTGTATCGTGATTTGAAATCTTGCATAACGTACCCAGTTATTGGGACAGAACTGCAACCACGAGCCCGAGCTCGTGGCCCAGGCTCTGGCCACAGCCTTCATTGATCGCGCGTTTACAAATCGGCGTCCTCCTCGTCGGGCAGGGGCATGTTGGCAGCAGCGTCCATCTCCTGCTCGTACTGGGCCAGAAGCTCCTTGTTGACGGTGACCTCGGGGGGAGCAAGAGCGGGGGCAGCAACGAATTCCTGAGAAATGCTTGTTAGTATTCAGTCTCACAGACCAATCGATCGGATCTAACTCACCAGCTGGGGGTTGCCGACCAACTTGCGAGCGAGCCAGAGGAAGGGCTTCTCGAAGTTGTAGTTGGACTTGGCGGAGATGTCGTAGTACTGGAGGTTCTTCTTGCGGTGGAAGGTGATGGTCTTGGCCTTCACCTTACGCTCCTTGACATCGACCTTGTTACCGCACAGCACGATGGGGATACCCTCGCAGACACGGACGAGATCACCTAGAATGGATGTGTCAGTCTGATATCGAGACGCGCGTGGTTTGATTCCTGATAGTAGGAGCACTTACGGTGCCAGTTGGGGACGTTCTTGTAGGTGATACGGGAGGTAACATCGAACATGATGATACCGCACTGTCCGTTGATGTAGTAACCATCGCGAAGACCACCGAACTTCTCCTGACCAGCAGTGTCCCAGACGTCGAACTGGATGTTACCCAGGTTCTGGCAAAAGCGTTAGTCGGACCGGCACAAAGACGGCGGAATGGACAAAGCGGGGTTTCCGGCGGGGCATACGGTGTGGAAAGCGAGAGGGTGCACTTCGACACCGAGAGTGGCGATGTACTTCTTCTCGAACTCGCCAGTCAAGTGGCGCTTGACGAAGGTGGTCTGTAGTGAAATTTGTCCAGTCAGTAATGACGTCTCGTGGCGGGTGAGGTTGGGCGGGCGATGAAGTTTTTCTGTTGATAGGGACGACGGGCAACAGAGAGGGGTAAACACGCATGACAGGAATGCAGTCGAGCGTTAAGAGGCGTCGAAGAGGCGACATGCCACCTCCGCCCAGTAAGCCGTGTGGGATAGAAATATCTTGATTCAACTTGCCTTTCCAGTACCACCATCACCGACGAGGACAAGCTTGAAGGTCGGTACCTGCTCAGCCATGATGAAGGTTGGATGTGATGTGGGGGGGATGTGATGAGAAGAAGAGAAACAGAATTTGCGATGAAAGTCGACGGAAATCAAAGGTCGACAGTGGGATGCGACACTCGATGGACAAAGCGATCGAGGGGGGTTCGATAGAACGAGGGGGTTTGGACAGGGAGGAGTTAGAGTGGGAAGGTTATTTCTACCGGTGATGGAATTTTTGCCGTGAGTCGGTCGCCCAAGCCTGGTGGTCACGTGGCACTCTTGGGCCTCAGGCAGCCAACGGTGCCCCGCAGGATCGCGCAAACTGCATTTGTTGCATGTCTCACTGTCGATCCACTCGGTTCTTTGCGAGTGAACCCTCTACGCTGTACGGAATTGATCATTCACGTCCATATGAACAGGTGCAATTTCATCTCTTGAACCTAAACTGAAACGCCACCCTAAATGCTTCCCTAGGTATTTCCCGGCAATAATAAACACGTCACGTTCGATCATGAATACATGTCACATTCCTCATCAGAGTCCAATAGCAAGAAAGCAGTAAGGAGAATCCATCAACGAAAGTAGATCGCACCCGGGTAAGTCCTAGTATTCCAGGGACTATCCCAGAGTACAGTAGACAGCCGTCAATTCTCGTGCCTAACCCGATGCCAGTCCACTACAACGGCACGAGATGACAGCCCAACAAGCCCCGACCGCCCCAATCACGGCGAGGGACCAACTGCAGGGACAAGTCAATGCTGCTGGAAGAACTAGGATCTTTCCGCACGACTTTGACCGCCACGGTGCGCTAGAAGATGTTAGTTTGGAGCATTTCGCAAGTGTATGTCCGTCCTTGGATTCTGGAACTAGAAGGTTGGAAGGAAATCTCCAACTTACCCCTTCACTCTGCTGCACTATCTCCGCCACCTTGGAGAGACGTTCATGGTTAAGCCAGTTGGCATTCCCGAACTCCCGAACGGTATCTCCCACCCTCAGACCTGCCTGGTCGGCGGGACTTCCAGGCACCACACTATTGACCTTTGCGAACGGTAACCCAGATGTCCCAGCACCGGATGTATTATTGCCAGACACACTAGGTTGTGACCCCGATGTACCATTCAGACCGCCGCCCGATTGTACGGCAGTTTGCGCCCGCTGCAAATTCGCAAAGTGGTTGTGGATTCCTTTCTCCAGATGTGACATCACGTCTTTATGATCGTTCCGCAGTCGAATAATCCGGGCTCGAGTAGTGCGTACTAACTACTGTTTAGCAAAGGCACTGCGGGGGCGTAAAGCAGTGACTCACTTTGGGCAACATCGATATCGTCTCGTGGGAAGCCATCGAAAGTAGTGAGAGATGTGTTCATATTAACGCCATGCTAGAACAGAAAGCATCGTCAGTCGACGTCTCACAGAGTGGCAAGGCTTGTCCAAGATCGATTTAACTCACCGAGCCGAGGACGCTACTCAAAGCCGAGAGTTCTTCTTCGATGCGTTCCTTTTCTTGCATGAGATCGACCATGCCGAGCTTGGACAGGTCGCGAGGAGAAGCGCCTCCGGACGTAGGGCCGGAGGCTACTGTTGGGGCATGAATGTTTGAACCCATGGGTATTCCCATACTAGAGTGAGTGTGAGGTGGTTTAAAACATCGTTGGTTGGATGGAAGATGAAGGAAGGACCGGGCGGCGAGAGCTGTCGCAGACGGATCCCGGAAAACGGCGGTGGGTCTTTCGGTGGGAAATCTGGGGGAGTTTCATCTTCTTGGCATTGTTGACCTTGTAGAGAACTGTGCAACACCTTTATCGATTTCTCATCAAAAATTGAAGTTGATAAGAAATTATTGTAAATATGAAGTCAGAAAACAATGTAAGCCACAAAAGTGTCTATTTGGCTGAAAATGCTATATCAAAAATGCTATCTGCTACTACTATGCTGCCGCTAAACTGATATCTAGAACCCTCAAAAGTAGCATGAACAACACCTACCAAGTTGTGAACCGTCCATCGTCACTAGTTTCGCCGCCTTGACCTTTTCTACTTAGAAAGTCTGGCTAAAGGTGCACAGATGATGCCGATGCCCGTCGTTTCATCGTTGGGAGCAATGAAAGGCCGTTACCGTGTGGTAGGACCAAACACCTTGCAATTTGATTCTCAACCGAGCGGTGCATGATGTAGAGGCAACTTTACTCAGAGCATTACCGTAAGTTTGTTTAACCTACTGTGATGGGTTTCATACGGTTTGCGTTTGCTCGCACTGGACGTTTTGTTCCAACACGTGAGCTCCCCCCGGCGACAGCAAGTATACCATGCTTTCCCCATGTGAAGAACTGTGCCAGTCGTTGCTTCCAGTTGCTGGCAAGCACTACTACTCATGACACACGTGCTCTCCTGTGATCCTTATTCCGAAGCATAACCTGCTTCTGAGTTCACACCCTCACGTGGAGTTTGTTCACTTCTACACACAGTCTGCACCATGGAGGAACCCAAAGACATGGGCGAGCCTCCCTTGCTGATCCTGGAGAAGCCCGAATATGTGGTGGAGATAACTGCGACGCATCCTATGCCAGTAGATCCTGTGGCTGCTTTCAAGCGTTGGATGAATAGCTTCCGATCCCGAAGAGGCTGTCCCCCACCCGAAAGATACGTCGAGGGTTGGCCGATGGAAGTCAAGCCAGATAATCGGGACCTTCTACCAGACTTGTTAACCTCAAATGAGTTTCAGGAAAAGCAATGGGAATCCTTGTCCCACCGTTCATCCAATCTTGGAACCGTCAAGACGGCTACTCTGAGCATTACTAGCCAAAGTGTGGTACGATCGAGGGGAACTACGCAGAGCACAACAAATCAAAGCATACGATCTGATGCTCGTGAATCGCTAGACAGCATCAGACCTGCGTTGAATCCTTCAATCGATGAGGAAGCTCAGCACAGGGCCATAAAGAGGCGTCGTGTTCTCCGGGAATTGATCACGACCGAATGTGACTATATATTCGGCTTGAAAGCACTGGCTGATGTATGATTACCTTCAAACTAAAGTATAAGCACGTGTTGCTGCTTACGGATAGCTAACGTATTTTCTGATTGTAGGCCCTTTTCATATTTTCTGTCAGACCGGAGATTTACCACAATGTTCAACAGATCCGTGACACGCACGAGGACTTCCTCTCCCAGATTCGAAAGCTGACGCCCATATCGAACCTTGCAGCAGCTGAGTTCGATAACTTGATGCCTCAGGGTGTTCACAAGCGCCTGAGTGCAATTGACTTTGGTTTGAGGGCTTTGCATGCCAAGTCTCTGCGATCACGCAGCTTTAGGACGTCTATGGATTCGCGTCTCAGGGCGTTGGCTGCGGAGACAAAAGAGGCCTTGCAAGTTGCGCTAGAAGTCGGCAACCTGGTGAGTTTTCCTCAGTAGGCTTATAGATTTGTCAGCTACTGACTCGATATTGGTAGTCGGCATCTTTCACGGCTTACAAAGTGTTTTGTAAGAACTATGGCTTGCTCACAGTAGACGTGAGTCTTCTGCGCCAGTCTGTACCGGATTGGCGTATATTCGACCAGGGAATCGAGGCTCTATCGAAGTCGGTTGCATCATTGGAAAGACAGACACAAGAGGAAAATAAAGCGATGTCTCTGAATGACCTCCTGATCAAGGTCGGGATAGACACCCTTGGTTCTGCTTCTGGATGCTAACCTTCAACAGCCAATTCAACGTCTGTGCAAGTATCCTTTGCTGCTTGAGGAACTATTACGATGGACTCACATTCAAGACGACCCATCGGCCCATGACGGCATCCGGCAAGTCCTCGAACAAGTCCGCGCGGTGGTATGCGAAATAAATCAAATCACCGATAACCCCATTAGCAAGGCACTAGTGAAGAAGACCTTCTTGCTACAGAGCTTCATGGACCTATCAACATCCGTAAGTATACCACATCTCCCTACAGGATATAGAAACTGAGGTGGTTTGAATCTACAGAACACGATCGATAACATCTACAAGCAACTGGGTCCTTTGAGCCTGTGCGGGGTCCTTCACATCACATACCAAACCCCTGAGTATATCACGGGAGGATACATGGTCTGCATTCTGTTCACCTATCATCTCGTAATAGCCAAACCGAGCAATGACTACCGAAGGCTTGAGCCACTAGCATGTGTGTATATTCCTGACATGAAGATTGATTCGATCAGAAACGGGGAAGGTGAGGAAACTGCCTATAAGGGTCATTTTGTATGCTAAACTCTGTGATAGGTCTTCGTTGCTATGGCTGTCTTTTCTCCTGGAAACTGATTTTCCAGTCTCAGGGCAAGAACTACGAACTGGTGCTTAGTGCTGCTTCGGCACGCGAAGAAAAGAAATGGGAGACCGAGATGCTCAAGTCTGCAGCCGCATTAACTGACATGCCGAAGTCGGTGGTAGCGAAGCTGAAAGAATACTCATTCCTGTCTCTGGAGCTGGCTCCATTGAGTTGCAGCAACGGTGCTCTGCCTCTTCTTCCTCGCCGACCGTCTATGCAGGCATTGGCTACATCGCGGACTCTACCTGACTCACAGAACATCATCATCAAAAAGACGCATTGTCCACAAAGACTCCAGATGACGGAATCTGTAGACGGGGAAATTGAGCGACCGAAGATGTCTTCCTTATGTCCAGCCCTTGTACTGACTGCCAGGAGACAGGATCGAATACTCCTAGAACGTGCCATATCTTCATTCTACACGCGGGACATTCTGCCGTACCCTGGGATGACTTTAGGCAAGGGGGACATTTTCCATAGTCCCGGGTGTCTTATGAGACATCTGAGCCGCCGGCCGGGGTTGTACCGACGCTCCAGCTGTGTGAGCCTCAGCACCGCAGGCTATTCTGCTAAGTCTGTTACGGGAGCGACATGTGCCGACGAGAAAGTCCATAGGAAGCTTGGAAAGAGTCAGGAGAAGAGTTTACAAAGTGTATCGAGAGGCAAGCCAGCAACTCCGGACACAGACAAGGGTCCTATCTTGGCGCGACATAGTAAGGATATTCGACGGTCCAAAACGTGGAAAGGAAAAGGAGGTCCGAATGCGAAAGCCAAGGCTGAGATCATTCCGACCAGTGTCAGCAACAAGGGAACGGAGACACCCGACGGTTGTTCCTTGAGAACATCTGCTATTCGGAGGATGTTTAATTCGATGTCCTCGCGACGGACGAAAAGACAGGGTCGCATGGGGCTTGGGAGTGGAGCGTGATGGAGGTGATGATGCAAATTGTGTGAGATTTCCTGCAGTATTGCATCAGATGGCCAGGTACGTGAGTACAAGTGTGTGGAATATGTATGGGGTTCTTAGGGATTCGTGTCGATTCTGAGGAGAGTGGGGGAGGAGAGATTGACCGGGGCGAAGCGAGACGTAATTAGTAGCATTAGCGAGCCAGAATGCCAGAATGCTGGAATGATGATGATGATGATGCGGATGAGGGAATTGAATTCCATAGGGAGCCATGTTTCTCCACCGGGTGAACCAGAAGCGCAAGAGCAAGTGCAGAGCATCCGCAGCATCAGTCGATGATGACGTCGATGCTCCCGTCGACACACCCGCCTTGATGTATTTAAAGGCCTGCGATATTCGAGAGAGAGAGGCAATAGATCAAATCCAATCAACTCAATTATCACACGAACACTGTCCTAGCCATCAACAAATCCTTTGCACGACTTTCCTCACTTCAATTGCTCTTCCTGCCACTGTTTGCCCGCCTTTGTTTCCGGTAGCATCGTGGTGACGTCATCTGCCCTCACCTCACACGACACTCTTCAACTCACTTCATCTCAACTTCCTCTCCTCCTTATCTTCCCATCGTCTCTCGCAGCTTCATTAAAAGAAAGAAACTAGACCTTTCTTCCATCTTTGTGTCTAAATCACTACAAACCACTACACACTACACACCACCAACATGCCTCGCCACAACGACCCCACCTCCAAGATGTTCTACAAGGGAGCATCCGACGACTTCATCGTCTTCGTTGATGACCATGACGCCCTGAACAGATGGCGCGGTGACCGCTCCGTTCCTCTGGCGGATGTCCTTAACGGCTGGAAGATCTTTGTTACTCACAAGTAAGTAAGACCCTTTGTCTTCATGAGAGCAAAGCTAACAAGCAATAACTTCCAGGCACGGAGCCCAAGGCGTCCTTGACGGAGCTAGCAAGGCTAGTCTCGAGAATGAATTCGGAACTGCCAATGAAGACGACGTTATAACTCAGATTTTGGAGCGTGGAGAGTACCAGTCTACTATTGTATGTTGAGATCCTTCATACGCTTCATACGTACTTGGAAAGGAAAGATGCTAATTGATCTATGGTAACAGGCTCGCGAACAACAAGGTGATACCAACTTCCGTAATGGTCCTGCTTATCGATAGATTCGTGCGCCCATGTTATTACTTACGCCCTTGCTGGCTGGCTGGCTGGCCTGTTTCCTTCCCTCCCCCTCCCTTGATGGGTGTGTGGCGTGATGTGATGTTTGCAAGAGGGGGGGCCAAGGATTGTTAGTAGCATGATGATCGACTGATCGAGCACATGATTATGCTTTTTTACTAGCGGATGAAATGTACCTACCTACTTGTCTATCCTAGCTATCTTCCTAGGAAAAGAGAAGGGTAATTGATAAATGAAATGAAATGAATGAAATACATCATGGTTAAATTTATACCATAATCTATGGTCGTACCCAAAATCGTGACTCTACATCTATTCTATTCTACTTTCACACCATCACCATCACCACCTTTCTCCATCTCCCAAACCTTCCTCCTCTCAACAACCCACCTCCCCAACTCATCCCAAACCTCCCTCTTCTCCATAACCGACATCCCCGCCGCCAACCCACTCGTCGTCGTAGCCACGAAAACCCTCGCCCCCTCCCACCCCCCATCATCACCACCCACCCTCCCCAAATTCATCCCCTCATCCTGCCACCCATACCTAAACTCCTCCTTCCTAATCCCCCTACCAACCTTAACCCTCCAAACCGCCTCCCAAATACTCTTTCCGACAAGACACACCGCCTCAGGCCTCTTCTCCCTCACCTTCGCCTCCAACACCGGCACCCCCGCATCCATCTCCTTCTTGCTCAGCATGCTCGCATCCCGCGTCGGACGTTCCACGATATTCGTGTTCCCGATGTTGTATAACTCTGGGAGTTTGTATGTATCTGAGGGCGGGTGTCGGATCGGTGTGATTCCCGACCAGTGCAGGAGTTTCCAGAAGAGGTTGCTGGGGTGCGCGTAGGCGTAGCCTGTGATGCCGGTTAGGATTCCAGGGTTTACGCCTACGAGGAGGAGGGTTAGGTTCGGGGGGATGGTGTCGGTTAGGAGGGAGGTGGAGGATGATGCTGATGATGGGGTGGTGGGTGGTTTGCGTGGGCGGGGAGAGGAACTGGTGGTGCTGGTTGGGGTTGAGGTGGAGGAGCGGGATCGGGAGCGGGTTATTCGTGTTGATGTTGATGTTGGTGGTGTGGTTCGTTTGCGTTTTAGAGGAGAGGATGTACGGTTTGGTTGTGTTGTCGTAGTGGTAATGGTTTGTTTTGTGGATGGGAGTGCCGGTGGCGCTGAGGATGTAGGCTTCGCGGTATGGAAGTATTGGTTGAGACGGCCGTTGAAGCTGGTCTTTTTGTTCACGGGGACGTCGTTGTCGTCGTCGTGCTCTTCTTCATAAGCTTCATTGTTGGGATTGAGGGTTGTAGGGGGTATTTGGGTGTTGTTGTCCTCGCGAGGACTGTCTTCGACGAGGGGCATGCTGGTTGCTGGCTGTCTGGGTGGCAGACTCTGCCGGTGTTAGTGATAGTAATGCTGCAAAATATTCGCCGGTTAGTGCTGTTGATCGGTTTATATAGGTATCATTTCAGGGGATTGCTAAAAGCTTTTCCTTGGTTGCTGGTGATTTGCCTCATCTCTTGTTCCTCGGTCTGGAGCGCTCCAGACGCTTAACCGTTTTGGGTATTATTGGACGCAGGGTCACGTGATTTTGCCTTGGGAAAGTGGCAATAAGGCTCTGAAAGTACTGTGGATGGCGGATTAGGTATAGTACTAGGCTTGTCTATATTTAGATGTATAGCTGTCTTGGAGTGAAATGACTTAAACGAAGCTTTAGCAGGTTATAGAGTGTTAATATGTCGGTTATGGGCGATAGTATATCTACTGTATGGAAGGCATGATCTTGTAAAATGTATTATCTGTATTTTAAAATAAAAAGAACTATAATACACACAGATACATATACTCTGGCATCCAGGCAACAGAGTCCTTATATAACTGCCACATCCAGGTCAATAGCTGGACAGTCATCGCTGACTGAAAGAGGACCTTTTATCTGTCCAAACTCCATAAAGCACATATTACCGATATACTAGCATCGCTGGGTATCGTTTCGTAAAATCATATCATGTCGTGGTCGTCAAGTGTGAGGTTTCGTGTTGGTACAAGCCATGCTATACCTTGTATTCGCTTCGTTTCGGGAGGGTCCATGGTACAGGGCAAACGACCTATTATCCATCAGTTATGTTTTGGGAAATTAGATCGCTGTATACATACCTCGCCCTCACTGTAGGCCCAGAAATACACCCCGATTCCAATAACATAGTATAGAGCAGGGTCCGTTCCCTGGTAGAGGAGCATGGAGAGTAGAGCGCTAAGGGGATAGAAGATCAATCGGAATTCGATGCTGCGGTGCGCGAGGGAGCCGGCGACATATTTCAACGGCCATTCCCATGCAAGTCCGAGCAGACCCAAGAGGAGGTTGAGAATCTGAAGAACAGGGACCGGATTCACAGCGCCGTTCAGGTTGAGCGTCATAAAGTCCCAGAACACCTTCGGCCAGATAAATCCTTCGATCGCCGCGCCAATTTGATCTGTACATTGGGTCATTCGGATTAGCATTCTTATACAAGATAGATGAAGAGGTGGTGCATACAAGCTGAGGCTGTGAGGATAATAAGTCGCGCCCAGTGATTCTTGATAAGTCTTCCCATGGTAGGCAGGCTTTGGCGTATAGTGGGGAGTTCAAGCGTCTTCCGTCCGGCGAAAGAGCTCGTTACTCAAAGTATAGACACAATGCTGTTGTTGTCTCATAAACACAAGGATTGATTGCTTTTTCGATCGTAGGGGATCCCTCAACCATCCACCCGATCAATCAATGTCGTGTGTGCTATGCTCGTTCCAAATGACATGGCAGGTGGAGAGATGCGATGCAAGGTCAAGGTTGGTAAAATCTTCCCCGGCAGTTTGCTTGTGAGGAGAAGTAGTCGTAAGGGAGTGTGTGTGAGTCGGATAAGCTTTAAATCACAACAATCACATCACTACATAAACTTAATGCAGGAAAAATGCGATAGTATCGGTTCAAATAATCATGTACTGCATGACCGAGCAAACTTCAGCTGATAGTCCAGGTAGCCGATGGTGGCCATGGAGGGGGAAAAGAGCAGGAATACATACATTAGTAGCTTCCGGCGCCAACGGAGGAGACCACCTGATTTGCATCTTCTTCACAATAGGCCGAACGCAACGGACTCGCCGTCCTCCGCTCTTCCCCCTCTCAACGCCTGTGATACGTGGATGCGTTTTATCAACCGCTCTCTTTCCTAATCCAATCAGCTACCATTTTCTGCTGGAAGCGATCCTCACCCCCTTGACTTCTTCACGAGAATACCCTATGATTGGATCTGGTCGCTCGGTGTAGCGTGACAGTGCGAATGATCCTGGGAGCGCCATGGCTGGTCGGATCAATCAGAAGAAGCAGAACGTGGAACTGACAGAGATGCATCGGCCGCTAAAGTGTGTTGCCGCAAATCTCCTGCATCCTCCACTCCACCGTCACGCCCCGTCAGGTCGCTAGTGCATAACACCCCGTTTGGCTGCGGAGCTTTAGGCTTCTGAGTGGCTGGAGCGTGTGCTACGAAGCGCCCGGCTGGGGCTTCCAGCATCCAAGCTCCTCTGATGGCGGACTATCTTGTGAAGACTTTGAGAAGCGGGGAAATTGGTGCCCAGGTAGTCGGTCTTTTCCCTGCCCCCAAGTCCTTGCTGTGATCTCCATCGGGCGCCTACTGCTACGCAGCCAGAAATACCCGCTGTCAAGGCGACTATTACGACCTCAAATATACGCCTACGGGAAGAAGCAAGTCTCACATGAAACCCCGAGATGGAAGAAGAACCTCTAGATCACGGGAAAACCTATACTGGAATCAAGGCTGCTACTAGACAACTCACCGTCTTTTCGCAGCCCCCTATCACTCAAGATAATTATAGCACCGTTCCTACCCACACGGTCCGAGTGCCAATCTAGTCGTCACTAGATGTGATGAGAACCTCAACCGTGCAGGGCCAAGAACTTAAAAATATGCCCCAGCAATATCGTCTGATTCCCTGCTCAACCCACGCCAAGGACTCACCACTAGGAAATACCAGGGTCTTCCATTCGAATTCCGGAGATGATTCTGCTTTGGACTAGTACCTGGATCATGAAAGTCTTGGCTCAAAATGCGAGAGCTATATTTGGTAGCAACCAGACCTTAATTTGCATCTCGAATCATATTCCTGTCTGTCCAGACTGTCACAAAGGTGCGCTCCCCATGTCGATGGCCGCTTTGACCGCGTGTGACGGGATGCGCGCCTGCACAGCGCTTCTCATAGGCTGGAATTGGCCGAGACTCCACCCTTCACAAAACGAATCAACGGAGCAGCCGGAGGAATATAGAAGCATCAAATATGGATTTACGGGCCATTGATAGCAACTCACAATCCCGGTGCCACATGGTAAGGTTAGTGGCGGATACTGGGAGATGAGGAGATGGCAGTAGGTTAACAAAAGACGGACTTTAACCTATCATGTCACTACTAAGTGCGCCAATCGCGCACAACAGCTTAACGAGTGCACCGCAAAGCAAAACTCAAACAGCTGTGTGATTGAGGAGCATGCTCGGTTGTGGCCTTGGGATACGAGTGGAAGGATTATCTATCCAGTCAACAGAGGACGGTCAGACTCGAGCTCTCTTCACCAAGAATCTGGCGCATCAGGCGATAGTTCCAACGCCTGACGGTCTTTGCTCCATCCCATTTTCGCCTGAGCCCTGTAAACGGCAAGTTCGGGGATAGTGGTGTCCAACCGGGCGATCCGCTCCCTGCAGGCTATCCTAGCGGCACCATAAATCCGCACAGCGCAGGGATTGGGGTAAATATAGAAGCAGAAATCCTGATCCTCGTGTCCCTCATCAATTCTTCCCCTCCTTTCTGCAACCAAAACCGTATCTCCGGGTACCAGACGCTTGACACAGGATTCTCAACTGACATCAACCCCACACCACCCTACTCAGAGATTACCCTTCAGGACCTAGGCCCGTTTAAAATAAGAAAGATATAATCGGATCTGATCCTTGTTCCTCGATTGGTCCCAGCCTTCTGTGATCGTCGGCTTCTACCGCGTCCTGAACCTCCGGCCATTGACTCTAGCACCTGAGAAATCCTATTCATGAGCCATTATTTTCGATAAGCCAAGGGGAAGCTTGTGATCTCCGTGAGTCCCCTGGACTTCAGGGTGCCTACGGCTCCTTTCAGCGTTCGAAGCGCCTTATCTACTGGCGCCACAGGCTGTCGCTCTGCGCAGGCTTAACTTAGCGGATACTTGAGCGAAGCGCCAGCTCTGGAGGGAGGATTCTATTTATGGATCCCTAGAGTAGAGTGTCTACCAAAATCACTCCTTTCACTTATGGTACGGGCGCCTTCGAAAGAAATCCCGGAAAAAGCGCACTCAAACCATTCACTCCTTTGAAAACGGGTCATTGCAGGTCAATGATAGAGCCTCGCTAAAAAGTCATTACATGCTTATACTGCCCTGTTACCATCATGGAACATGCTTGGGGCTCATACGTTACTGCGTCAAAGGTCTGGTTCTACTCCATCTTTTGGGCGCTACATTTTGTCATTTTTGCAGTGGGGTGGTAAGTCTGACGGTTCCTAATGACTGCCCGTATATGTACTGAGAATCCTTAGGTATATTCAGGCTTCGGACCAAAGGCTGGCTATGCTCAATACCCTCCAGTATTCCGTTTGGATATCACGGGGCGCTGGGCTAGTGTTGACATGCGATGCCACCCTCCTGTTGCTGCCCATGTGCCGAAATCTTGTTAAAACAATAAGACCCAGGGTGCGATGGCTACCACTAGATGAAACGGTATGGTTTCATCGTCAGGTCGCCTATGCCCTTCTGTTTTTCACCATAGTCCATGCAGCGGCTCATTATGTGAAGTAAGCCAAAATATTCTAACCACGAGGTCATTGTTCTGACAGAAGCAGCTTTTACAATATCGAAAAAGATCATATCCGCCCTGTCAAAGCAGTTCAAATTCACTACACAGAAGCTGGTGGGATTACAGGACATGTCATGCTCCTTTGCATGATGCTGATGTACACCACGTCCCATCAGCGGATCCGGCAACAATCTTTTGAGACATTTTGGTATACGCACCATCTTTTCGTACCGTTCCTTCTAGCATTGTATACACATGCAACAGGCTGCTTCGTACGAGACACAGAAGAGCCTATCTCACCTTTTGCTGGGTCTAGATTCTGGAATCACTGCTTAGGCTACGAAGGCTGGAGGTGGGAACTAGTGGCTGGAGGCTTGTACATGCTTGAAAGGCTGTACCGTGAAATCCGAGCAAGACGCCACACCGTTATCCTAAAGGTGGTTCGCCATCCGTATGGTAAGTTCTACATATGCAGATATATGCTTCTGAACTTTCCTAACAGCGATACGCAGATGCTATGGAGATCCAGTTCCGCAAGGATAGTATGAAGTACAAGGCTGGTCAATGGCTCTTCATTCAATCACCCGATGTATCCAGCAACCAATGGCATCCGTTTACAATCACGTCCTGTCCATTCGATCCGTACATTAGCATCCACGTCCGCCAAGTCGGTGATTTCACTCGTGCATTGGGTGACGCCCTAGGATGCGGACCAGCGCAGGCCAGAGATATGGAAGGACTCGATCCGCTGGGAATGTATGAAGTCGCCCTGCATAACGGACAAAAGATGCCTAGGCTGCGCGTTGACGGACCATACGGGGCCCCGGCCGACGACGTTTTCGACAACGAGGTGGCCGTACTCATCGGGACGGGAATAGGTGTCACACCATGGGCATCGATCCTCAAGAACATTTGGCACTTACGATCCGACCCTAAGCTAGCCGGCCGTCTTTGTCGCGTCGAGTTCATCTGGGTCTGTAGGGACACATCGTCCTTCGAATGGTTCCAAGCCTTGCTCTCCTCTCTTGAATCTCAGTCGGCAGCCGAAGCAGAGTATAGTGGGAAGGCGGAGTTCTTACGCATCCACACATATCTCACACAACGACTGGATGACGACACTGCCGCTAATATTTTCCTCAACTCCGTCGGTCAGGCTGTCGACCCACTTACGGAGTTGCGAAGTAGAACGAACTTTGGCCGCCCGGACTTCAAACGCCTCTTCACTGCCATGCGTGATGGTCTACAAGACCAGACTTATCTATCAGGCGTGCATGGGAATTCGACTACAGAAATTGGAGTCTACTTCTGTGGCCCTAATGCCGCTGCCAGACAAATCCGGGAGGCGGCCATGTCCACCTCAACGAGGGACATCCGGTTCAAGTTCTGGAAGGAACACTTTTAGACAGCGAGGCTCTGTCCTATGGGGTCAAAAGACAAAAATCAAGTGGAAAAGGAAACAACATACGAATTGATGACTGATGACTCTCCAGCTTTGTTGATAATTGCATGTAACTAGATGTATTTGTCTTGTGATATGAAGTGTCGTGTAATATACGTCTCATGTGTGTCTCTCTACGTGTCGTAATGCAGCATATGACTGGCTAAGGCAACAGTTACAGTATGTTATGGCACAGGGTGTGGTAAACGAAATTTCACGTCCCTTCAGTCGTATTTAACCCACATATTGAACGTGACAGACTGGAGAATTATTAGCAGCACGATCTTCACTCGGACTCATTGATGCTTGCAAGCCCTGAAAGCGCTGCGCAACATATGGTCTGTCTATCTACTGGGAAATAGTTCCGGAGGAGGCAGATCAGCACAAACTTTGCCCGTTAGCGAATAAGAGATATGACACGACGGAAGTTATTGACGGGACAGTCAAGCTATTGAAAAACGAGCGTCATGCGAAGAAAGAGCGGTCTGGAGGGGCCAATCAATGCTGCATTCGTTACTGATGTACCTAAAAGGATGCAAGACTGGCATAGGGACGTCCGAAGCACATGAAACATGTCGCAGGAGGACGGCAAGGGATTGATCGGCCTAGGAACACCCCCGGTCCGACCGATTTACCAACCATCATGGTGAAATAACAATGCAGAAGTATGATATACGCTACTGGAATGATGGGGATTTACAGCAAACTGGGGTTTAAAGATCCCACCGCCACCATCGGGGGTTCAATATGTCTGGTAGATGATTCAACGCGGATTGTTGATAAAGACCGACCTACCGGTCTTTCCAGCCCTCGGTATACATCGAGGAGGACCACTCCCCTACTGAACAGCCTGACGTCTTTGACTCCTCCCTGAAATGGAGTTTACTTCTTTCTTTTGGCTTCTGGTGTAAGTTGAAGACAACCACCCGCCATAATGCTATTGCTGCTGACCAGAAAAGGGGCTGGCACCTTGTCAGACGTACCTTACGACTCTATGGATACTGGCGAATAAAGCCACTTCCGGTACCAGAAAACCCTCAAATGCGACCGGATTGTGTTAGCGTGTTGATACCCACCATTGGTGCACCTGCAGACCTCATGCCCCCGCTCCACACCATGCTGGACAACCATCCTAAGGAGATTATTATTGTCACGACAGCAGCTTTGATCGGGGAAATGAGGGCCGCTCTTAAGGAGTCCATTCCGAAAGAACAACTACATAGGATTAAAGCTCTCGACATCCCGCTACCCAATAAAAGAAACCAGCTCATGCGCGGCATTCAAGCAGCCACAGGAGAGGTTATTGTGCTAGCGGACGATGATGTGTATTGGACCAAGAACCTTTTGCAACAAGTCCTCGGCGTTCTGGAATTGGAACCCGAAGTTGGTGGCGTCACCACGCAGGAAGAAGCACATGGTCTGGACGCTCGAAGTCCTGAAACAATCACGTTCTGGGAAGCCCTCGAGGCTCGCCGCCTCAGCATGCGCAATATAGAAATTGCTGCCTCCAGCTGGCTGGACGGTAGCCAAACGGTTTTGACTGGACGAACTGCAGCTTATCGAGCGTGCATCTTGAAAGACCCGGAATATCTGTCTGCGTTCACAAACGAGTACTTTCTGTGGAGATACCGCATGCATTGCGGCGATGACCAATTTACCACCCGCTGGCTATTGAACCACGGGTGGAAAACCCGTATGCAGACAGGGGCCATGATCTACTGCGAGGCTCTCAACGACAGTCGTCATGTGAAACAGACCCTACGATGGGCAAGGAATGGTAAGATCTCAAGTCTGAAGCGGTTTTTCGGATCAAAACGAATGTGGAAGCGGTCAGTTACTCCTTGTCTTCCTTTGATGAACATTCTTCAATAGTAACACAAGTATTAGATATCCATGGCTAGCCCTTTTCACAACCCATACAGTATTCTCCATGGTACTCCAACTATGGCGTCTCTCGTTCGTGGTGTATATTTTCTCCAACCCATGGCTCCTCATTGAGAGGCTGTTCGGCCTAAGGTAAGGAATCTGGCCTGTGCGCGTCTATTGAACCTCGCTAACCGTGCCAGACCAACTTTCTGGATTGGCTTCTATGTACCACTGCTCGTTGAACACATCGCATACGGTGTGGTGCACAGATGGTATTTCAGACATTTAGGAGCCCAGATATTGAAGGACTTCATACAGCACTATTTCGTTTCTGTCTATACGACACTAACTCTACACGCGGTAAGTTTCCACCCAAGTGTTTCATACTGAAAGCTGGTATTGATAGATGATAGAACCACTGGGGCTCCCGGAAAGTCTGATGATTGGGAGCAGTTGTACGTGTGCTGTCAGGAACTTGGTAGTGCTGTCAAGCACCATACCCTTTTTTAAATAATAGACAGGCATGTTGGAGAATTAGATGTTCGTTTAATCCCCTCAAAACGAGGTCTGCTATATGCCTGCATAATCTCTAACAATTCTTACAACATAGTATGATATAGTAGGATATCAAGTACTGAAACAGCCGCTCTTTCACCTCGGCATTAGTTCCTGAACCAACTAACGAGCGAGGCTGGTGTAATCCGAGGACCAGAACAGAAGACCTCGAGTGACCAATAGACTCGATAAAGGAGAATTGACGAGAACTCATGGAAGTAGATAAGCGATAGTGATACAAAGAACGAAAGATTTGCGCGGGTGAGACACAGAAGTAATCCCCCGACACTGAAAGCTAAGCGAAGTATGTGGGGAAGGAAGGAAACTGTGTCCCCTTGCATTAGCCCAAACTTAAGTAGGTAACAAGCTAGCTCAACTCTCAGGAACAAGACCAATCACTCCTTTCTGTGATATGTGATTTCGGTGTACCTTACTCGGAATTACTGGTGCATTGGTAAAGTAGCGGTGAATCGGCAAGGGAGAGGTGTCAAGTTGGCAATTGTTCATCGTAAAAGCATTGTCTAGGGAGGATCTCTGGTGTTGTAGGCTACAGCATACAGGTCATCATGCTCCGAATTCAAAATTCAAGAGATCTACATACATGGAAGTAAAAGATAACAGTAAAAGAAAAGCACATACCCTGAGGTAATCCCCGAAGGAACGGTACTTTAAATGGTCAATCAATATGAAAATGGCGATGTTTTGGATGTCGCATATTAAAAGCCATGCAGGAAAGACATTTCTAGAAAAGGATCGCCAACATACTCTTACCCGTCGCAGCTCAAGTTGGGCGGTGACTGGAGGATGTTGCTAGGAAGTAATTTCCCATGTCTATCGGCCATCGTAGACGTGTCTGCAAAGACCTATGGTTCAAATGGCTGCCTGCAGTGCATATGATGTTTCAACTGCAGGCAAGGATTCGTGACCACCGGTGAACCACATCAGATATGACGCGACATAGGGATATAGAACCCCTCCTCACTGCCTGTCATCTCTTTTAACATGGCTCTTTGGAAGCAAGAGAACACCTGTTATATGTTAAAACGAAGCGTTCTACAAAGCATCATAATGGGATCTAACAGTATGGAAAATATGTCGAACCAATGGCCTGAGGGCAACTTCCAGAAGGTATGTATGATTGGCGCGGGCTATGTGGGTAAGTCGAGACCAGCTGTTACCCTCATAGCAGTTTCAAAACTCTCATGACTTATGTTTCTCGTGCTTCAGGTGCATTGACAGCAATAGCTCTGGCTTCTAAAAACCCATCTGTGCACTTCAGTGTGGTCGACAAAGATGCCTCCTTGATTGCGGCTTGGAATTCAGACCACATCCCCATATTCGAGCCTGGCCTCGAAGATATCTTATTTGAGGATGGCCAAATTCAGGAGAACGCACTTCGTGTTTTGTTACACGGTTATGAAGGGAGGCGGAGGAGAAGGCTTGCTAACATGACCTTCTCTGCTGATATTAATACACACATATCAGACGCCAATATTATTTTCATTTGTGTTGACACTCCATCAGAAGTCTCTGTAAGTCTCACATCATGAGTTTGTGAAACGATGTAGGAGGTTCTGATTGCCCAGTTTCCTGATAGCGATGAGATCAGAGGCCTCGACCTGAAGAATCTAGAGTCAGCCATCAAGTCAATCGCGCAACTATTTACAAGGCACAAAGTTATAGTCCAGAAAAGTACTGCACCTAGTGGGATTTGTCAGTGGATCAAAAAGACGGTTAGTGATGCTATCCTAAGCAGCGGTTATGTAGCGATTATGCATCTCGCTGACTAGTTCTGAATTAGCTGAGAGATGCCGCTCCTCCAACGGCCTCATTCGACATAATATCTAGCCCCGAGTTTCTAGCTCAAGGCACCGCAATGCAAGATCTCTTAAACCCTAATAGGGTAGTTGTTGGCTATGAACCAGCAGCAGACGGCGCCGTTCCCGAATCAGTGAAAGCCCTAATACGCTTATATACTCCATGGGTACCTCAGGAACGAATAGTCACGACCGACACATGGTCATCAGAGCTAGCCAAGATTGCCTCCAATGCACTAATTGCACAGCGGATCAGCAGCATAAACTCCCTAAGTGCTGTCTGCGAAGCGACCGGCGCAAGCATCACCGAGCTCTCTCGAATTGCTGGACTAGACCCACGAATCGGACCGCAGTGTCTGCGAGCCGGATTCGGATTCGGCGGTTCTTGCCTGCGCAAAGATGTCTGCTGCTTGATTTATCTAGCCCGTGAGCTAGGACTCGACGATGTGGCCGAGTACTGGCGGGGTGTGATTCAGATTAATGACTCCCAATCCGCACGCATCACGAGACGGATAATGTCATTTTTGCCTCCTATTGTCCCAGATACGAAAACGAAGGCAGCTATTCTTGGTTTCTCTTTCAAGAAAAACACGACGGACATTCGAAATACCACTGCGATTAAGCTTGTTCGAGATTTGGTTGGCCGTGGATTACGCGTCAATATCTTTGATCCGTACGTCCCGAGGCAACGTATTGAAAAGTCTTTGATGTTACAGTGTTGTGCGGCTCATGTGAATACTGCTGTGGTAGACAGCACTGAGGCAGCGTGTGAGGGATGCAGCGTGGTTGTGTTGCATACTGACTGGAATGAGTTTGTAGGAGACAGTGTGGATTGGAAGGACATTGTGGCTCGGATGCGAGAACCAAGGTTGTTCTTGGGACCTCCTGGGTCATTTAATGTACAAACAATGAAGGGATATGGGCTTACTGTTCTGGAGGTGGGGAAGCCATAGACAAGGGAGAGTTGCCTTCGCATAGGCGTAAAGGAGAATTGAAGAGTGACAGCATATTGGGCGTTTCATATCTGAGCCCAAATACCATTCTTCACGTTTCTCTTCTTCTCCATAGGCGTTACATGTTTATTGCACCATGGGAGGTATTGGAATTCATTTGGAGCTACAGCAGCTCCCTGCCTTCTAAAAACTGGGAAGTGGACCAAAGTCTCATTGTTCTATTCTGATTATTCATATTTTGCAAAAATTGCTACGTACTATCAATGGTTCAATGGACAGTGTTAGTGAAAATGTCTACCCCCCCCAAAAGAAAAAAAAAAAAAAAAAAAAAAAAAAAAAAAAAAAAAACAAAAAAAAAAAAAAAAAAGACAAGAAGGTGTATGTGTGTGGATGTTGTTCAGGGTGTGCGTACCTTTTAGAAAAATCCCTAGCCTTGCAATCTGGACTGTTTCTCGTTGAGCCTTGTCGAGAGCCTTGTGTTCTTTACGCGCCCACACTTCGAAAAAAAAAAAAAAAAAGAAAGAAAAAAAAAAAAAAAAAAAAAAAAAAAAAAAAGAAAAAAAACCCGAAAATAAGATTGGGCGTATAGTAGCCTCATGCGAGTTCTAGGCCAATAGATTGAAGGGAGTCAGAAGTGGATGAACCATTAGGCTGCTAATGCACATAAGCAGTCGCATTATAGAGCGGCTGCGACTAAAGCAAAGAGTTCGTATAGGGATCAGTGCAATTTATGAGAACTATGAACGGAAGAAGAAGAGCAAAATAAATACTCCATACACCTTAGTGGCAGCGACTTAAAATTTAAATGCGATATACCATTCAAAAATTGAGATTCGAGGAATTAATATCTATATTTTCCCCATTTGTACTTCCTCTTCAAACTCGTTCACTACTTCCATGAGATTGATGAATTCGCGATACAAGGAAAATGTTTCTATAGTCGTTTGCAAACCCTCCTCTATAAGCTCACGAGCATCTTCGAGATCCTTCATGTTACGCTCGCGCTCATAGCGCATGAGCAAACATCCAGACAGCTCACGGAGATACATATGACTAGAGGCTTCAGTGGGTAGCCTAAGTCCATTTGCCTCTTCAGCCACCTCAATTGCCTGACGTAAATATTCTGGCTTGTCAGGATACTTTGAAGCAGTCGCCTTCAACCAAAAAGTCAATGTGTGAAGCGCATTAGCGTATCTTGGATTCTTCTTTGACATGCCATGTATAGCTCTCTGCGCACATTCCACAGCCCTGCGTAAGTCATCGTCTTGGGGCTGCTCCGCCCTTTGAAATCGGTATCCCAACCACATGGCCAAGGAGTGATAAAATAGCTGTTTATCTGCTTTGCTCAGGTCAGGGGTATGAGTCAAGGCGTTCTCAGTATCTTCAATTGCCTGATCGAGGTCCTCGTTCCAGTGTGCCCAATTAGCGTGCTCATGCAATGCTCTAGCTCGGTCCATGCTGCCAATTGGTGTTACTTGCAGCGCTCTCTCGGCGACCTCTAAGCCAGTGTTCAAGTCTGAGCTTTCGTAATTATAATGGTCTTGCTCGAGAATGTGTGCTCGGCTTAGGTTAATAAGCATCCTACCTAGCCTGGCATCTGCTTCTGGCGTTTGCTCGACAACGCTGGCGGTGATTTCTATCGCGCAAGTAAGATCTGCATGTGAGTTGAATTTAGTAGACCTTAAGATTAGGCCTTGGGACATGTTGTTGAGAGCCTCTGTCATGTTTCTACTCCCTAGCTGTACCACGTTCTGGAAGAGCCTCGCCTCCGCTTCAGACGTAAAGCCAGAGCAACAGAGCATTGGCAATACGACATCGAAGGATAATTTATAATATTTCTCCTGGAGTCTTGGGAGCATTTCAATAAGAGTTTCTGGACCTTTCCCCTCTTTAGTTCTTATTTCATGCAGATGAACAAGCCACTGGCAAAACGCATATTCCCCAAACGGAAACGTGTCCCAATACCATTGTTGATGCTCAAGCTGCTCATATAGAGGAAGATAGAAGAAGTCTTCAACAGGGATTATCTCCGGTCGTTGATTGAATGGGGCGGAAATATAGCGCATGCAACTGTTGAGTATGGTTTCATGGCAGGAAACGGTGGTGATCGATTGTAGCCAGGTGGGTCTTGTGTCCTTCTTCGGTTTCACTTGGCTTTCTTGTTCCGATAGAAGATAGTCCTTAACAGTTTGGTGAATAAAGTAGATACGGTCATTGTATGTCACCAGCAAGAAATGACATCGTTCCAACATGGTCGCTTTGAATAGAAGTGGGTTGAACTCGTCTCCACGCTCAAAGGCCTCGTCATCCATACCAACCTTCAAGGCAATTTCCATTTCCTGAACGGTCAAAGGTCTCTGTGCGGCCAAGACAATCTTCAACATAGCTTTCACCGCTTCACGATCTGCTTCATCTATTGCGTCCAGTAGCTCGGTATACGCGTCAAAGACTGTCTCTGGAATATTCTCGAATTCTTTGACCCATGCCCTCAGCGATCTTGTCATACTCAACTTCTTCTTATCCAAAACATCGAAAAGCAATTTGACAAATAGATATGTCCGATCTCCTTCAACGCGCTTTCTGAGCATTTCTCGGAGCTGTAAACAAACAGACTCATTTTCGATCTTCCGTTTCTGCATGAACCTCTCCAGACGTTGACTCGCAACACATTGAATATCCCTTGAAAGAAACTCCCGACATTGCGCATCTTGATCGAGGTCCAAAATAAAATCCATCACGGGGTGAAAGTCGTCAATGATGTCGCTCAGTGGACGGGCAGTGCAGAAGAGCTTCAGAGCTGGGCTATCGAAACCGTGCAAGTGCTGAATAAACTTTTCCCTTGAGCCAGGCTCACTTTCATCCAAGGCGTCAAGCAGAAGAACAATGCTATCCGGTTCAACTTTAACGAGTACCTTATGAAGAAGCTCCCATAGAAAACGGAAGTTTGATCGTATGTCACCCGGGTCCTTGTTCTGAATATCATCCACCACGTGGACAATCCAGTCCGGACGATTCTGGAACAATTGATACATAATGTGGCAGAGAGCGACGTTCATGTTATTTTGCTGACCACCGCGGTCCTTGAAGAAGAATGAACAAACCGCAGGTCCACCTGGTCTTGAAAGTGACTCATGAAGAGATTTGGTCAGCACCGACTTTCCAGTACCAGGGTTGGCCACCACAAGCAGAGAACGAGTTGATCCGGATTCCCATTCTTGATATATTCTGTGCTCACGGAAGCCTTCGGTTGTTCCACTTGAAGGATTGCTGATATCCTCATAGTAGGCTTGATACTGATCAATATCCAGATGGGCTTCGTCTAGCCTAAACTTTGTGATTAGCTTTGACTGTTGCCTCAACGCAAACTGCCTGTTGAGTTCTGATGTCAAGCCGGTCTTCATTTGGGCTGAAGTTGATTTGATGCCTTTGAGTGTGTCCAACACTTGTGTCCTGAAATCGATTTCCATATACGTCTGCACCTCGCTCTCAGCTTCTTTGATCTGAGTCAGTCTATCCTCCGCGGATGAGCCCAGCCCCACGAAGGTCTTGGAAAGGGTTCTGAACTTGTGATGGCATTCTCGCAGACTCAAGATCTGGAATTCAATGATGAGCCTGTATAGCTCTATGATTGCCTCTTTGAGAGGGGCCTTCGACCGCCGGAATTGCTGGGGAGACTGCCATATTTCAGATTTTAGAAGCTCGACCAAGTGCGCATACCATGGAAGCTTCGCGATAATATACAGGAGGCCATTATGACTCGCACTAACTTGATCACTGTATTTGACAAGCTTTGTTCTCTCAGTCCTCATGTTGGGAGCGATATCGATGATCCAGATTAACCTACCGGAGTCAATACTAAACAGACCCCTGTCCAGGCAATAGAGGCAGGTGGGTAAACAGCCAGCATGCTCGATATTCCATCCTTGGTCGAGTTGAATACTTTCGAGAAGGTATCGAATGCTTTGATATCTGCTGCATTATTGCTGCTTTCCTTGACCAATTCATCCATCAATTTCTGGCGACTCTTGTCGTCTAGAACGGCTAGTTGACGCGTAAGGGGCATCGGATTGTTGTCGACAACGCCGCAGTCAGGGTCCGTTGTGGCCGACGGGAGTTTTGAGCGGACTATATTCTCATATTCAATCACAAGTTTCTCCAAGACCTTGTTATTGCGAATGCGACCGTATGCCTCTTCCCAAATGTCTCCTACATCTGGTATCTCCTGTCCATCAACAACGGGGGATATAGGATTCGTCTGCTCCTTTGACTTGATTTCACTCGGTCCATGTTCGGAGCTATAGCGATTAGACTGTGAGCTCCTTACTTCCTTTGTGGCTTCGCCGAGGGACTGATAAGACTCCACGAGGGGAGTTGATGCTGATGCTTGAGAGGTGTCATTTCCCAGCGATCCTTTGTTTTTGCTTTTGCCTTTCCCACTGAATCGTGATTTGAGACACACGAGCCACTTGGGTTGACCCATTTGAGGCACTTTTCGGGAATGTAGACGATAAAAGCGAGAAAGAATGAGGGTACGTTTGGGGAGGAAAGAGCCATCGCGGTGAAATTAAATACAGACGCGGTGCCACCTTTGCTTCTTTCAGCTAGCACTACGAACGATATCTCAGCGCGTATACCCTTGTCAATTTATGACGTGTTCCTGTTCGTGGATCCTTAGTGTGGTATTCTGTGCGGCTGACTTGCATTCAACATGGCCAATCATGCCTTTTCCACACCTTACTTCCAACCAGCCAGAGAGAACTCGGTCGCATACTACTGCTAAAATTATGGCTGTTAACCTTCTAGCTCACCACTCAAGACAGGCACCCACCTTGAGCTCAATATCCATCAAACATTGTCACGCTGCTTCGAGTAGGTGTATACACCGTCCTTTGGGTAATCACTATGTCGCAGTGGTTTATCAGAGCTATTGATGTACCGAGGAAAATAATCTTACATGGTTTTGTTTTATGTCGCCCTTTTTCTCGCACGAGAAGAGAGACTGTATGTTTTATAGCAGCCTTCTGTTTGATTGTGCAAATTTTATTCACCTTGTCCAACCTCATCTCTTGTCTTGAGCTTTCAGAGACGCTCCGAGGGGGGGTAGCTACAGCGACAAATATCTGGGCCGCGAAGTGATGCGTTTTCTTTCCTCTAATCGTGACCAATAATGGAGCCGATACGATTCGGTGATTGTTGATGTTATCCCTGGTTGGCAACAATTTCTGCGCCCGATGCTGCACTAGTGTCGAGGGCTGCCCTCCGCTCCGTTCAGATGCTTGCCGAACGCGCCGTCGGAAATAGTGGACATGCTAGTCATGCACTGATGCCAATCAAACACAAAAGGCTATTACGACGCGGTAATCTCGCAAGAATAAACTGAATCATCTCTCCAAGTTTGGTCTTCCATGTATTTACGCGTAGGTAAAATATGCATAACGCGAGACTTCACAAATTAGTATGCGGCAGGGCCAGAACATTATATAGTGGACACAATCTTGCGTTGGGCCATTGGCCGGCCTTTTGCCCCAAGTGAAGTGTACCCGAGTTAATCTATGTGTTATGTACTACCGTCTATAGGAACTTGTTGGTTGTTGACTAGATGGGGGTTTATAATACCTTCCATTATGCCACGACAGCTTGAGCTAGGAATCACCAGCAGCGTGCTACATTTTCTGGCATTGAACACACGAATGATACACGATTTCTGCGATGAATACTCGTCGAAGCAGTAAAATAAAATTTACCACAAAGTATCAAATCACTGCTGGCTAGTTTGCCTCTTTGGGATAACCCGCATGCAGATTGCAGCCTTCTATGCATGTCCCATCAAGGACGTTGGCTCATGCAAGCTCTGATCGGAACTAATACCTAAATTTAGGCCTGTTGATGGAATTAAGAATTGCAGTGGCTTCGGGCTGTGTCACGTACTAGGACACCTATCAATGACAGTGCTTTCTATTCAGAAACCTAGAATATTTCTCAATAGTCGCATACAGATATTTCTCTTGTATCTCGATCTATATCTTCCCCCATTGTTTGCTTTCTGTGAGCTAAACCACGATATAAGCCACCTCACAGTAATTCATGTATATTCGTGCATACATGATGAGAGTGAGATCGCACCTTAGCATACCGGCCACTACCCTCAAAGAAGCCGAATATGCTCCTTCACATCCCCCAAAACGTCCTCAAAGCTCGCATAATGACCCGCCCAGCACGGATGAATAATTCCCTTCAACTGCACATCCGTAAGATCCGGAAACTCCTTCCTCTGAAATCGCTCCTCAATTTGCTTGTCTGTCATTCCCGGATAAGGATACTGGCTGGTTGCCAGATAATAAATAGCCGAGCCGAAATCCAAAATATCCCGCTTCACAGCCTGTGGCGTGGCGTCGGTTGAACGAGTGAAATCACCGACCTTCACATCCAGTAACTCGTCCACATAAAAGCTCACACAATCAACATCACCATGAACTATCCCATTGTCATGAATGAACTGCAATGCCTCCGCTGCTTGCTTCGCAAAGCGGAGAATCATAGGGGGTGGGATCCCGTAATCGAAACCGTATGAGTATTTCCGCAACGTACCGTGCTTTGCGTATTCCAGGAGGATTCCGTGCTCTGTAGAGCCGTAGTACTTTAGAAGGGATGATGGTCTCGGGAGTGGTGAGCGCTCTAAGCGCTCATATATTTCCTTCTCGTGAGCGCATTCAGCCCCTCCCTCGTCTGTGTTGTATGGGAATTTTATGACGTGCTTTGTTTTGGGGTCTAGCGCTGCTATTCCGCTTTTTCCGACCCCGATCATATCGTCTGCGTCGATACCGGGTGGGAATTGGAGGCCTCCCATTGTTACTGGTTCAGGGGTTGGATATACAACGTTGACTTGGGGTCGCTGGGTATTGGGGGTGATATTTCCGGTGTGTGGAGAAGGTGCGGGTATTGATCTGGCTAACCTTGGCGGTGGAGTTCATGAGGATTAAGGACAAGCGGAGGATCCGTGACGGCAATATGTCAACATTGGAAGACAATTTTCAATGAAAGAGGAAGATGAGAACCAAGCAGTCAATTGAAATATAAAATGACAGCGAATGAGGTAATAAATACATCGGGAAACCACTGGAAGTGGCATAAAGCAAGATGTTTCAGATATAGAAATCCCCAGCCACGGGGCGTAGCTGAGATCGTTAGGGCGATGATCATGTTTGCCCGACAGACGCTAATGACATCAGTAATGACTCACAAATCGAGAAATTTTCTAGAATGCTTCTAAATATGGATGATTCTATTAGGTAGACGAGATAATTTAGAGGAAAATCATAAACCTGAAAAATTGACGGGATGATACTCATTCTTTGCGCGTGTAGCCATGTGGCGGAACGGAAAAGTTTTCCGAATTCTATCATCGCCCGTACTCCAGTATGGCAAACCCCATTGTTGATTACTAACCGGTAGCGGTCGTACTATACCCTAAGCTTTCACAGATAGTTCAGGTAGTATTAGGCTTATTCGAGAGCCAAGTCTGTTCCAGTAGCTTTTCGTTCACAGTCATAGCAGAGATGTTGGAGGCGATAAATATATCCAACATGCCGTGGTATGGGCTACGGGGAACGTTATATATTGAAAGGATCACATTCCTATTATGCCAGAGATCATGTTGGCGACTCGATGAATGGGTATTATTATGGCCTGACAGGCGTCCTTATGAGTTGTCTCTGCATCTTATACCCCAAGGGGCGGTGATCAGCACGGCTGTCCCACCGCAATTTGGAACCGCACAGCTTCAACATCCATGCCCTCCAGTAGCTCCGGATACTTTGCCATGAACTCTGATGTCAAACCCCATCCAGTTTCCTTGGTGAAAACCTAAGAAATCCCTGACAGATTTGCAAGTCATCACGCTCATCACGCGCAAGATTCCCCCCCCAAAGGCTACCGCACTTTCATGCAGCAGCTCAAATAACGTGTCAATTTCATATAATCATATTTGTGCCAGCTCTGACCTGGATGCGAACGCAGCTGCGGCCAGGGAATAAAATCAAGACCGACGGGATGGCCATGCTGCAGTTGAGCCATAGTTGGGTGCTGGAAGCTTGCGAGACACGTAAACGTCGCGGGACTCGGAAACACGCGCCATTTGCTGTAGTTATATGCTAACCAACCAACTGCGAGGCATTCCGCGTCTTGCGGTTGAATGGGGGGTGCCCGAATATTCCCCGGTGCTTCATGCGTAGAAGCCTCACTAGTGCTTACGAAAAACGGGATCGTTGTTCGCGCCTGATTGGGATGTGGTCTGTGATCTCCATCTCCTGTAGCTAGTATGGTAGGTCTGCTCGGATAAATAAATGGGTCCATCGGGCTGATGCGTAAGCGCTGTCGGTATCTTTCCCTAGATGCATGTCTTCCTTCGTCATCCCACTCGGCGAGTTCGAATTTCGTGCCTGTGGTTAGAGAAATCTTGGTACTGAATGAGCTCCTCTGTGAGCTGTCCGACTGAGTTGTTTATCTAGCTCGTCTGACACCTTCAACCTAATTTCTGAGGCTGCCGTGTGTCCATCTCCGGTTGGTCGCAGTTGACGGGTAGTTGGTTAAATGTGTTGCGCTGATTCAGCGTCGCTTATCCTCTCTATAAGTTAACTGGTCAACTGCTTATCTGCAGTCGGTAGCTAGGTTTGAGGCTGAGTCCACCGGCATGATGCGGGGAATGGGGACTTATATAAATATCGTAGGAACCTATCTTACACCTCAGTATCGAACCTGATCATCAATCGTTGACTACACCACCACCAGCATCATGTTGGACCCTCTTACACTAGCTATCGCCCCTTGCATATATCTCCTTTACTCGCTACTTAGCATAATACACACTCTATATCTCCATCCCTTGCGACACATTCCTGGACCTAAATCATGGATCATCCTACCACTCTTCCGACACGTTTCAGCAGTCCGAGGGCGATTAGATGCTGACATACATCGCTTTCATGAAGAGTATGGCCCTGTGGTACGCGTCACCCACAACGAAGTCTCTTTCATCACCACAGAAGCGTGGAACAAGATCTACGGACATGGCCACCGTGAACTACCCAAAGTAACCAGCTCCGCGGCCAACCCGAAGGACATAATTAGCTCCAACACAGCAGACCACAGTCGCTTCCGCAAAGCGCTATCACACGCCTTTTCCTCCAAGGGCTTACAGGCCCAGGAGCCTCTCATAAATAGCTACGTCGACAAATTAATTACCAGGTTAAGGGGTATCGCAGAGTCACAGCTCCCAGCTGATATGGTCAAGTGGTACAATCTGACCACCTTCGACATTATTGGTGATCTGGCTTTCGGAGAACCCTTTGGCGGTCTTGAAAGCTCTCAGTATCACTATTGGGTTGCAACGGTCTTCCAGTTTATTAAGCTCTTACCGTTCATCAAGTTAAGGGATGCATACCCCACAATCTTCAAGTTGCTAGCTCTCGTTATGCCAAAATCACTCCTGAATGCACGAAAGCGCCAACAGGCACACACTAGAATAACTGTCCAGAAGAGACTCGACAATGCATCGAAGTATGACCGCGGAGACTTTATGGATTCCATGTTGCGAGATCACGACACAATAGATGGCCTAACTCACGAAGAGATCGTGGCCAATGCGAATGTGCTTATCATTGCTGGCAGTGAGACAACTGCCACACTGCTTTGCGGCATCACATACTGGCTGCTAAAGACCCCCGACGCGCTTGAAAAAGTGACCACCGAAGTTCGTTCCACCATGAAGTCCGAGACCGATATTACCGCCAGCCTCGTGGCTGCGAAGCTTCCTTATTTGCAAGCCTGCATCGATGAAGCGTTTCGCATGTATCCTCCGGTTCCGACTGGGCTCACCCGCATGACTATCGAGCCGACACTCATCTCGGGCTATGAAATCCTTTCTGGCGTGAGTAAACTAGGATAACCTTGAAAGGACACATCCACAATGAATACGGAATACTAATATCTTCTCGCATATAGACCAGAGTCTACGTGCATCCGCTCGCTGCTTACAAGTCAGCCAGTAACTTTCATGCACCTGAATGTTATCTTCCCGAGCGGTGGCTACCAGAAGCCAAAACAGACCCATCTTCACCATTCTTCTCTGATAACAGAGAAGTGCTCCAACCATTCTCTACTGGGCCGAGGAACTGCATCGGAAGGAATCTGGCTTTTGCGGAAATGCGAGTCATTATTACTCGTCTGTTGTGGAACTTTGATCTGGAGCTTTGCGAGGATAGTCGCCAATGGTCGAATCAGAAGACTTTCACTTTGTGGGAGAAGCCTGCGCTGATGTGCAAGTTGTCCTTGAGGAATTAGAATATGGGAGGACACTGTCTGGGTCTGGAATTCATCTATAGTCCTTATTCAATGATCTATCTCACTTACTGTATTGACGGCTCCGCACAAACTAAAAATTGCTAAGCCCGAGTTGCTGAGCTTACCCGTGCGGTACAGCTTATCTGCAGCTTGGGGCGTTTCTGCGTATAGTGTACTGCGATCCGGCCCGTGAAGGTAGAGATGTCAAGGCAGTCTGTTCCTAGCTCCTTCAGCGACTCATCTAATTTGGCCCCTAGGACTTTAGGACGGTGCATGCCAGGTCCGACAGGGTGCCATTCCAAAGCCATTTAGAGGCCGTGTTCTTTCCATTTCGCTTCGTGTGTTTATGCTTTCTGGCGACCGACGTCATATAGGCGGGTAGTGTCGAGTTCATAATACCCTCTGCGCTGGGAGAGGTCGAGGCAGGACTAGAATTTACCGAGTGAGGTGATGCGCGCGCTGTGGGTAGCGTTGGGGCCTAGGGTCATTAGACCTAGGATGACTCTTCTTGGGGATTAGGTGGTTCTGGTAGTCATGATAGGTTAGGGAATCTGGGGTATGATGCGAAAGAAGCGGATTCGCTTGATAATACTGATCAATTGGTACTATTAGTGATGATAGAGATGAACATTTGCCTTCGTATACAGAATTACTTGTCTCTAACGAGAAGATTACGGATTTTGTGTCCATTAATCTCGGTGTCGGTACTCAGGACGTCGGGATACCGGATGGCAAACAGGTTCAGTCGAACCCGGATTTAAGACAGATCCTTCCAAAATCATAAAGACACATCTTAAATCTAAAAGGAGGGTCTACCCTGCATCCTAGGTTGTGTGGGCTGGATAATGAATTAGCGTTTTCGATCTACAAGTTTGCAGGCCAATCGAGTTTGCGGGAAGAATAGAGCAAGTAGGTCCAATTTCAATTCAATTCAATTCAATTCATATTCTTATACCTGAGTGAGCTGGTGTAGTTAGATGCTAGCTATACAGATACTTTACTATTTGAGGTATAGAATATGGTCCTAAATTTTTTTAAAGTCTTGAATATTACAGTAAATATATGAAAATAATGTGATGAAGGTGACCTGCGTACACGGTCTGATCCAACTTGACGCCGGAACCGGGTCTCGTCAATCCCGAGCTTAAGACCTTACAACCTGTCATCCACTTGCACCTATCCCATTTCGTGTGGGTGATTTCCAGCAAATAATGTACGGAAATGGAACGGGGTCTCCATTCTTGGTTTAAGTTTTTGTCTGTATAACGCTCAATACTCCTGTATTTTCCTACTTCTTTCCCCGCCGGTCTCGAGTTTTATCCTCATTACGTGTCCACGGCCATTGTCAGCGGATTTAATTTACCCGAAGAACATAGCCCATTCATTGTCTACAATATGCACCTTATTCTTACTGGTGCAACGGGCTTGGTGGGCTCATCAGTTCTCGATGCCATGCTAAGAAGTGCGGAGGTTGCCAAAATCACTATCCTTAGTCGCAGGCCTGTGCCAATGGCGGAGGATGTAAAAGATCCGCGAATCCAAGTCTTAATTCATGAAAATTTCCAACATTATGAGCCAGAGTTACTCCAGAAGTTGAAAGACGCAGATGGATGCGTCTGGGCTTTAGGAACGAGCACAACAACTGTCACAGAGAGGTATGTATTTGATCAACCTAATCAACCGAAACATTATCAGATCTTAATAGCCTAGCAGTCAGTATGTCAAGATTACCAAGGACTATGCCCTCTCTGCGGCGAAAGCCTTTTCCACCCTCAAGTCCTCGAAGCCACCATTTCGGTTCATCTATGTCTCCGGCGAAGGAGCTACATAGTCTCCTGGGCTTTTTTCTCCGCTATTTGCGAGAGTAAAGGGCGAGACTGAGAAACTGCTCAGTGACCTGTCCACCACGAACCCACTACTTCGTGTCGATAGCGTGAGACCAGGCTTTGTTGACGCGGCAGCGCATGGTACCATTCAATCGTATGTTCCTAACCATGCAGTCAGTGGACTTGGTGCAAGGATTGGAATCGCTTTGGCAGGGCCTCCGATACGGCATATTTTTACCGGGATGCACTGTCCAACCGAGCATCTAGGCAAATTCCTAACGGATATGGCTATGGGCAAGGTAGACGGGAAACTCGAGGGCACGGGAGTATCCAAACGGGGCAGTGGCTGGGTAGTACAGAATATTGGTTTACGACGGTTATCAGGACTATGATCACGAAATGACTAGTTCTTTTGATCCTCCATGTATGATAAGTATATTAGAAACTCAACTGCCGTTGCTTGATTATTTGGGCTTAAAGAGACCTACAAGAAAATTCGAGGCCTGAAAATACGCTTGGTTCAACTATCTAAGAATATTGATAATCTATTCAAATATTGTTAGAAAGGCTATTCTTTAATCTTTATAAATAACATAGAATAACTAAGTAAATCAGTCTTAAATAATAGTAGTTATAATCAGAAGAAACAAATTGAAGATTACTATCTCCACGGCGTTATAGTGTGACCTAATTTCAAAAACTAAGTTCCTGGGCAAGTTGTCTTTATTGTTGCTAGTAAGTGGGTCCATTGAACCAGCGCTAGAAGTACCGATGATCTGCGATTCACATATATTTCTCCGGACGACAAAGTTGCTTTATAGCCGGAGATTGAGGGTCTACTGGTGAGCTCGGTACATTACTGTCAATCTGTCATCATGTATTAGATTACATAGATATGCCTACTCCCTGGCACATTCGGCCGCCTATACTGTCTATAAACCCCTTTCTCCCCCAATTTGCCTGCCGTTCCGTGTAGCGATTCCGATCCCATTCCTCCAAATAGTACCAAATCATGATTGATCACACAACCTTCATCAACGTGCGACTCAATGCCATTCGTAGAGCAACAAAGAATGCAATGCCCACGAAGATCACGAGTACCGCAAAGACTTGCATCCACCGATAGTCGGTTCCCTGAATCAAAGCACCACCAATCGGGTTACCTGTTAGACAGGCAAAGGCCGAGACGAAGTAGATCATGCCCACTCGGACACCGATTTCCCGGATGTCTGAAATCTTCGCAATACAGGCAGGAAGTAAAGAGATAAAAGAGCCAGATCCCCATCCAAATACGATACTGAATGCCATAGTCGTTCCAGGGGTATCAATAAACCAAAGCACGAATATTGAAACAATGACAATTGCGACGTTGACGATGATCGTGTTGAAGCAGCCATATCGGTCTCCGATGAAACCACATCCGACACGAGCCAGAACGCTGTTCACTGTTATTAGCGTTTCCGTTTACAAGCCAAAGGGGGATTCGTTATATACCTCGCGGCATTTAGTGCGATAAGCTGGTAATTTGAGAAGACCAATGACATCCCCAGACTCTCCGCATAGACGACGATGTAGTTGATGGGAATGAATACACCCCAGAAAGTGAAGTAGGCAGCTAATGCCAACAGGACGAATTTGACCTCCCTAAACGGGCGCACGAAGGACCGCAAAGACACTGGCGTCGGCTGATGCTTGAGATTCGAGGTAGTGGAGAGGCTAGCAAACAGGAGGAGGATAAGAAACGTCAATGCGATAGCACGAATTGTCCAACCGAAACTCAGTCCGTCGGCTATCAGGTAGTCGAACATGATTCTGCAGAATACCAGTATTAGCGTTTGGCAACTCTCAATAAGTGATGAATTTCCGGTCCGTGTAGCAAGAAGAACATACGGTAGGATGACGCCGCCCAGCGATGAGCCGCTAGCCACAATACCAATAGCGAGAGCCTTTCTTCGTTTGAAGTAGGTACTAACTGCGTTCATTCCAGAATAAAATAGTGAGCAGGCACCAATTCCGGATAGAATACTCTGTGAGAGGAACATTTGGTAATATTCCGTGCTCAGGCTTAGAAACACCAGGCCTAGAATGTGAGCGCAGGCACCTAATATCACAGCGTAACGGGGCCCATAGTTGTCAAATATCTTTCCAAACACAGGAGCGAGGACAATCAACATAAAAAGATTAGCTGAAGGGATCCAAGACACCGCAGAGGATGAATATGAGGAGAGCTGGTGCTCTGAATAATAGGCTTGGAAAACGCCAATGCTGCTAGTCCAGCCAAAGGAACAAAAGTTGCAACACCAGGCACCCGCAACTGCTAACCAAGCTCTGCGTCCTCCTTCCGGATAGGTATATGCCAGAGGGGCTGGGGATACATCGGACAACGGGGAGTCAACCGGCTGGGGCCCGAGAATTGTTGGTCCGCGGCCACGATCTTCCTCATCAGGGCCTTTTTCCATTTCGAAATTGAAGAAGGGAGATTCCCAGGGTTGCAAGAGGAGGAAAAGACCGAAGTAAATTTACTGTAGTTGTTGCAGCCGCCAGTCTGATAAACTGGAGAGGTCTAGAGGAAGAAGAGCACACATATTACGCGATTAAAAAGTATCTAGAATCCCTAATTTTAGGAGCAGACAGCGTCACCGCTGACGGAAAGTGCATAGTTAGTGAAATATCGAATGTATGCGTGACCTGATTTAGAGCCGCCTAGTAAAGCAGGTGCCCGGTTACCGATCACTGCTTGATAATCAGGGCCTCCGATCTGAGGATCGGCCGGCGGACCGGCAAGTGGATCGGCAAGTGCTCAGACCGTCTCCCGTCAACACCGTCTCCACTTGACAGATCACCGCATCCACTAGTCGAAGCTCTTGAGATCATCCTCGGGTGCAAATGGCCGGTCACCACAAGAATTATTGAATGCTTATTATCTATCTAAGGATACAATCGATTTCTTACTCCAGCCTATCCAGCGAGCTGCCAAGTCCTCCCGTATTTACATGCTTAAGGAATCTGTACGAAGATCCAAGACCGAAACAAAGCGTTTTAAAATGCTTAAATTCATTGCCTAGTTGTCTATCTGTCGCCCAATGCCAGTCAACTCTCATGCATCATTCCCGGCTAGAACCTCCGACTCGAGGGGATCACTTCTGGATATTTCCCATACCCAAATTCGACATAAATTACTTTCGACACACAGTAGATAAAGGCCCCAAGAGAAACCATCAAAGCAATAACGGAGGAAAGCAACAATGTAGACGGCACATTGAGAGTAAAGAGCGATATCCCAACTTGTGGGAATTGAATCCAAGTACTGCCAATATTGGCATGACGAATCACAAGCCGCAGGCACAAGGCCAAGAAGGCCGTACTAGGTACGGCCATTGCAAGGCGCGACGATACCTGCGTTGCTGCGGCATTGTTGTCAATTTGAAATAGAGCACTCTTTGTCTCTTGAGCATTTTTGTGTTGGTAATCTTTGACTCTGCCAACAGCGAGACTAGAGAGTGTATCTTGTGCCTCGTCGGAATGCCCCGCCTGAACAAAGTGCTCTGTCGCATCGGTGCCAATTACATCCAGCAAAAGGTCTTTTCCTCCGGGATGCTCATCCAAGTAGCTGCTCACATCGTAGACTGCATATTTGCATATTGATTATATTAGTATTCGATTTGCTCGCAAGGTTCTTGTGGAATGCGGGAATGAAGACACATGTTTACGCTTACCTTTTCCATGTATGATAATGAGTGGTCTTGCTGCACCCTGCTCCTTTACTTCGGCGGAGGAATAGGATCGCATGTTGAATCTGGTAGATATGAAATGCCTGTCGTATATCGCAGGTTGGCTGATTGTAGACGTTATACAATGCGAGGGACGAGAGAACAGTATGATATGTTCTGGTCCTATTTGCCCCTCATCCCCTCTCTAGTCTACACCATACTTGATCTGTATGATGTAGCACAACTGCCGTATATGTGAACCGAGTAAATATAACAAAGCTCATGGTGCCAGCTTGCATGCAGTAGCTGAAGCTAGCAAGGATCCTTCGCCCCGCTCACTAAAGGTCACGGGCGTCCCTTCCATGCAAGCCCAAGGGCTTTATATGACAATTCCCCGTGACTTCTTCAGAGAGTTACTCAACCGCTCACCAATAACCTATTGTTATAGAGCCTGTCGAGCCTAGCTATGTTCGAAACTTTCATAGGGTGGTGATTACACTCCGTCAGATTTCAGACATGGTTAGAGCCGAAAGCCGAACTGGTATATTTGATTTCAGATCCTTATTAGTCTGACGCCCCTTAACAGTAAGTGCTAGGGTCAAAGGACTTTATTTCTTTTATTAAGCTGAAAATGTCGCGGCTTGGCGTCATCCGCTAAGGAAGGTCAGATTGTGCGACCTGATCCTTCGCCCTCCACATGTCAGCTACGATTCGACCGTACATTCCTGAGTCTAAAGTCCAACACACTCATCTTTCGCTTATCATAGGAATCGACATGGCCTCACACTAATCTGAAAGAAATGAATGCCGCCACTTTAGCCGATTCTGCCAGACAATTCTCGTGTTCTCATAATCCGCTCCGGGTCAAGATAAGCAATGGAGCATCATCGGGAATTGACCGATATTGCACACATATATACAGAATGGCTGCGACGAATAGTATTTGATGACAGTTCAAATCATCGATTGCTGGACTCCCTGAATCCCCAGTCTTTGACAACCACGCAATGGCAGAAAAGCAATTCTATCTCCGCGGACAATACGATTCGGCTGTATGCATGATCGAAGTGGGAAGCAAGCTTGACATACATGCCATACGGAAGAAGGTCGCATCCCAATTCGCAATTATAGAGCCAAAGGGTATGCAAATGACACGGCCCCCCAAGACAGTAATTGATGTCACTAATCAAGCTTTCTCAAGGGATATCGTTTCATCTTGATGGGGAGGACCTCAGCTCCACGGAAGACATTCTCGCAGTAAATCAGCCAATAGGTATATTAGTGGATGGCGAAACAGTCCATGATGTTCCGGGACCCAAGGGGCTTCCTCTACTCGGGAGTCACTGTGAGGTATACCCCGACCATATTGGCAATCATCAACGTCTTTTCGAACTTTACGGGCCGATCTTCCAGACAACAGTCATGGGTCGGGTAGTTTACCACACTAATGACCCAGTCCTAACTGCCCATGCGTTCGCCGAAACTGAGTTCTTCACTAAAGACATCAATCACGCGCATCCTTTATACGGGGTAAAAAGCGCGCACGCAGGAATCTTTCTCACCAATACGGCCACCAAGGAATGGAAAGAGGGACATAAGTTCATTGTACCCGCATTTAGTCCTAAAGCAATCGCAGCCTATACTCCACGCATGGAAGAGGTTGTACGGCATTCCTTTCCGATTTTCGACGAGCTCGATCAGGCGAACCAAGCATGGAATGCGTACAGCTTCATGCTGAAACTATCGTCGCAGCTTGTGGGGGAGCTTATCATTGGGGCTGATTTCAGGCACTTTGAAAGAGTCGATTCTCCCATTCATGATATCCCTAAGGCTATTGTCAAGCTTTTAGGGTTGAACAAGAAAGTCACGTCATGGGGAGATTGGTATACATGGTTACCTTTCGGTGATCCAAAACGGCTGCGAGATACATGGCACTTAGTGGGGTCTCTGGTCGGGGAGTCTGTCAAGAAGGCTCCCATTGGGGAAGGGCATGTCTCCATCCAGGAGGCAGGCTTGAAAACTCAGAGTTTAGCAGGTATTAAAGCTTTACAAGAACTGCATACTATCTGTCTAATCAGCTCCCACAGACTACCTTGTCCGTGCTAGAGATAGCAAAGGCAACAAGTTGAGCGATGAAAGCCGAAACCCAGCGCTCATTGTGGCACTGACGGCAGGATTTGTAACGACGAGTTCTCTACTTTCCTGGCTGATCTACGGTCTGGTGACGTATCCAGGGGTCCAGGAAAAGCTCTTGCAAGAGTTAATCGACAGTAACATGACAGAGACTTCAGAAATGACTGGCGAATTTATAGGAAACCTATCCTATCTGGATAAGTTCGTCAAGGAAACCCAGCGACGTCATACTACATCTTTCCAACCCGCTAGAACGGCACGCAAAGATGTTATCCTTCCCGGAGGGTATCGAGTTCCCAAAGACAGCGTGATTATCTCAGAAATCCATCATCTTCACAACAATCCGGCCATATGGGACAATCCGACTCAATTTTCCACAGATAGATGGGATACCGAGAGAGTCAAGAATCGACACCGCGGAGCCTATATCCCATTTGCGATGGGACCTCGCATGTGCGTGGCGACAAACTTCGTTGCTCGCGAGGTGAAAGTCTTCATCGCCATGCTCGTGTACCGGTATGAATTCTTTAGAGGAGGCAATGATCCGATCGAATATGATTCCACGTTCCAAACCGTCAAGCCAAGCAATCTCTATGTGCGCGCCCGGAGAAGGTCGCACGATTGAGTCCCGGGCTAGCACGCCTAGGGGGTTCTCTTCATTCACTACATGTCTCTTAATTTTTACTTACAAATACAAGCAATGATTAATGTCGTACCATTTGTTTCACGTCATGCTTTCTGTCTTGTTATACCTCCAAGGACGGAGATGTATGATAGCCAAGTATGTCATGATCGTGATCTGTATGGTGCAATAAGAATCTAATATGAGGTTGCAGCAAATAGTGCTATCATAGCCACATTTTTAGGGCCGAGAGGCGATTTCATTGGGCCGATGAGACTGTGGATCATAATCGAAGAAGATTATAGGCGTTTGTCTTAGCGGGAATTGTATCTATCCGGAGCATCTGATTGATGGGGCAATTTAGCCTGCTGTCCGTCCGAAACACATCCCGCGGCTCATCCCGCGGCTCTAATTCCCAGGGTTTCCTAGGCATCAGCATCGAAGACCAGGAATGATCCACCACACCAGGGGTCCAGTTTGTAAGAATATACTGAGCATTAGACGCTTACAGTAAGCACTAAATCCTGCGACGTGGCAAAGATAAGGTGGTTGCGCTATTCCCCGTCTTGTGGATTTCCATTTCTCCCTACTGCAAGTATAAATGATGCCACCGCACCAACTCAACTCAGAGAAATAAACATCAGAGCACGGCGGGTTTCGCGCCCATTTCCTCACCATTGAATCTGGACCCCACGCCGGCTTTTCCTATGGGTATAGGATTTGAAATGCTTCAATCTCTCTCGTGTCGCGAGTTCCAAGCCTGCGCTTTCACTTCCATCGCCTTTAAGGATCGAGAAGAGCTTCAGTCCAGTGGGGCACTACTACTCCCAAGCGAGGATTTACGCGGCCTTCTTCTGCAGTCATATCTGCGATGGGTACATCCCCTAGTCCCTGTTCTAGAGATACCAAATGTCTTTCAAAGGCTGCTCGAAAATGACGACTGTCAATTCCCTCACCCACTTCTGTACCAAGCCGTCCTCTATGCGGGGAGCTCATACGTGGATCCCCTGGAACTACAGGCAGCGGGTCACCCAAGCCGAGATACTATTGGGAGGGTTATACGCGAAAGGGCGAGAGTGAGTGCATGCATGCATCCCCAGAACTTCTCCTCTCAAGTAACATCATTGACCAGCGCAGATGTTATACAATCTCTCGGTCGAGCGCAATCCGATTGTCATGACCCAAGCACTCATCTTGCTGAGTATTCGGGAAAACCTTTCCGAAGCAAGTCTTTCAGAATCCCGATATTGGATTCGCCATGCTCTCTCTGTCGCGATCGGTGCAGGTCTACTGGATCCAACAGATGAGCCAGTTAACCAAAACACAGAGTACCTTTGCACGATCTCATCTTCGCTGCGTGAGCGACTAGTATGGTCTTTATACACCGCTGATCTCACAATCTCCCTGGCTCTGGATGCTCCATTCCAAATAAAACGACCACCTAGTCTCAATTGTCAGTTTGTTCCCGACGTGTTTTCAGTATTTGATCGAGCCATAATCAACGCTACCTTTTGTCCAACAAGCGAAGGCCCAGCAAGCGAGAGCATTTCAGAGCCACCATACCACGCCAAGCTATGTGGTATCCTCATCGAACGGTCGAAACTTATCCGCTGCATGTACCGCCTTCTCTACACAGTCGATCTGGACCGTCGAACGCGTGATGCACTAGACGATGGTATGAAGCCAGCTATTCTGCTATGGAAAATGCAGCACCTCGACCCAGCACTAGTCACGAGCGTCGAAGCCAGACTCAAACGGTGGCTGGAAAACCTACCTGCCTCTGTTCGCTACTCAGCTCAATGGACCTTGATCGAGCATTCACGACAATCTAAAGAGTTTACGCTGTGTGTCCATCGTGGCGCACTATACATACTATATCTGACATATCTACTGGCCCTCTACAATGGCAAGATGGCACGGACACCGACATATTCTGAAAGTCTCGTCCGTCGTGCCCGCCAGGTGGCTGCCGAAATCGTGCAGACGTGGGCCGGCCTGGCGGAGACACAAGCGATCGAATTTCTACCGAGCTATTGTTTTCTCTCGTTGAACCTTGCTCGTGAAGTCTATACGCAGCATTCAGGGGGCTGCACCAACTCAGAGGATTGGTATGCGATGTGGGCTATTAGATCGTGTGACACATTCCTGGCTCAGGGGTTCCATAGAACTTGGGACGTTTAGCATTGGCAAATTCTCAACATAATCTGTTGTTAACCACACAGATTCTTTTCTGCAATTTCTTAAAAGGGATTGAGAATAACTTTGTATCATTATCGAGACAAAGTCCACTTTCGCAACTATAGCCTTCTTCAGGGTACAAAGTAACCGTTAGGGTTTCTTGTGCAAAGTGTATCCGACAGCCCACATCCCGAGATCCCCACAACCCGACAATGTCTGATCCCTCCGACAGTATCAGTCACATACAGCGTCGTCAAAGAGATCAAGTAGCTTAACCAGTAGAAAATAAGTGAGCTATACATTCCAGCGAGCTGTATACTCTATCACCCCGACTCAATAACACAGCACATCGCCATAACAGCGACCACGACCACGACCATCCCAGACCCCAACACCCTCCACCTCAAACCTAAACCTTCCCCTCACCCTTCTCATCTGGCCGTCTAATCCTCTGAAAATTCCCCGTGTGGTACAAAACCTCCGGCTCAAGCACCTGAATCCGCCACTGCCCATCCACCTTGACATAAGTCTGCTGCATCCAGCTTCTCCCATCTGAAGTCTCGTCGATCTTGCGCTTAACCGGGTGCGTCTCTTCCTGACCGTCAACCCACCGCCCATGGCTTGCTAGCTGCTGCCATTGTACGACGATCTTTTCCTCCGATGCGAACTTGAAGTACGGTGCTCCGAGGAGATGCTGCGTCGCCAGAGCCTTGTTCCCAAGGTTTGTAGGGTTCAGCCATGTCTCGACGAAGTGGTCTGCTTCGTAGGTCTCGCGGGTGACGTGGGGGAGGACTTTGTTGTAGTCGACTATCACGGAGGGGGCGAGGGCGGCGCGGAGGCGGGTTTTGTCCTGGGTTTGATGGATATTAGTTTACAGTTATTACTATGCTATTGCGATTATTAGGATGAAGGCTTTATGAATATCGTTGTTCACCTTCCGATCGTACCCATCAGCGAATGTGCGCGCACATTGGCAGACGGCGATGTAGTCCTGGAAGGTAAGGGAGGAGGGGATGTATATTTCGAATGTCATTTTCTCGATTGGAATCAGATGAGCTTGACCGTGGAAATTGCAGAATTATGGAATTCTAATTTTACTAAGGTGGCATGAGGGAGGCTTTTATTCGCATAAGAATGAGCCGATGTTGTCCACGTCGGGCATTGAGGGGGAAAGAGGCGGGGCTTGCAGCTGAGCTCTCCCTTCCGTTAATCTGCATATTCCAGTTCTATTATCATCGGTATCGGGTATCCCTGCGTTTTATGCATTTATAGATTATAATGTCTTCCTACCCAGTGGCTTAGTGAGTCTATATCAGTTTAGCCCGCGTTAACTAGTCGGCGCATATTTATAATGATAGAATGGCATTGTTAGTTCAAGTACATAGCGCTAGCAACAATAAGCTCCCCGTCGTAGTATGTGGGGTATAGCGCACGGCTCGATCCGGCTACATCGGTGGATGGAGGAGGACCGATCACTAGCGTTCTTTTGTCCGGAAGCCACTTGTATCATCCATATCGATCGTCTGCGTCTGCATTCTCAGAAGAGAACTTTTCCTATAAATCAAATACCTTAGACAAGATATAAAGCAAAAGAAAGGAAAGGAAAGAGAGTAGAAAGAAAAAGCAAAAACACAGGGAGAGAACAAACAGCCTCTTGTTCCCACCACTTCCATAAATTTAGGCCATGTATGTACAACAATACTCACCCTGTACCTCTCGAGCTCCGTACTATACGACATTAGTTAATACCCCATATGAGGATGTGAACTGATGGGACCTGAGTAAGTACCAGTTTAGAGACGATATAGTACATTAGTCTAATTTAAGATGTTGCTTCACTAAGCGAGGAATACGTGGTTGGCGTCGAAGAAGTCGACAAATAACACTCGCCTAATCCGGTACGATTGCATGCCGTTTTATCTATTATGAGGATACATACCTCTAATAGATATATGTGGCGACCCCTGTAACCTTATCTGAAGCTTATCTGGTGATAGCGGAGCTGACACCCTTAGTCAACCCACACCACCTCGATACGGTCAACAACCCATTCTATACCGACCGTCTTAGCGACTCCTCATCCGCACAAACCAACTTTCCACCCCCTAGCAACACGGTGCTGCAATCCAAATCAGAACGTATAAGGAGGGTGAAAGTAGCTCAAGTCTACTGCATTTTACTGCTGCAGATGGGAACTTAGGTACGTGGTATATCCACATCACTCACTTGCATACTGATATTCTGGTTAGCGGATATCGTCTCATTCCTCCTACCTACCCTATTCAGCCTCTCCACCTCACAAGACAACTTCACGGATATCCTCAATCATAGATACTACACCGGAAACACGGCGTTGACTTCGCCGCGCCGAACACGCATCGCAGGTGCATGCGGGTACTTGTGGAGACACAATGGGGATTGGGTGATCCAGGATGCTGCGGAAGGAGATGAAGATAAGAGGGCTAAGGTAGAGTTTAGTGGGATGTGCACAAGCAGCAGGATGCCTTGAAGGCTATGCTCACGGCCTCCTGTCAAATGTACACTTTTTACACCATAGTCGTCACAACTTCTCGAGCCAAAGAACTCACGGGCGTATTCGGTCGGGCCTTGAAATCCTCAGTCAGTCAAAGGACGGCAGATTTCCACACACAATCATAGAATTTATTTTCATCTAGACGGTGTGTTTACATACAATCTTGGTAAGCCATGAGGCAGTCTAGATACATCTGAGATTCTATATAGATGTACGATCGTTGGATTGAACTTGAAGGTGAATATCCACGAGGGAGCTTCAAGTCCATGTCCCGATTGCAACCCCTCCCGGGGATTTACTTTTTCTGTTCACGTTTCGTCTTTCGTTGTCTTCATAGGTATGGAACAGATACCAGGCCCTTACGTCCTGGTGGGAAACTGTCTGGCCTTCAGCTCGCTGAGGTCGGTACGCATCGCCTCCAACAACCGACACACATCGTCAAGGTGTGCGTTCAAGCCACTGATCTCCTGCTGTTGCAGGAGCAACAACTCCCGGCAAAGATCCAGCTCGGAGCGTTAATCGTTGTCAATAGACTCGACGGCCTCGACGATGCGCTCTTGGGACGAGTGTGAAGTGGGGGTGAATTGCCGAACAATGTAACGCACTAGGATTTCTAGGTCAGGACGAAACGCCCCAACCCAAGTACCCAGCGTTCCCAATATAGAGATGATATCTGCAGAACCCATGATGTTGAAAGCTTGGACACGTACAGAAGTACTAGCTTAGAACGTTAACAATTGAGTTCCGTGAAGAAAGAAGAGGAAAGCTAAGAAGAACCTGGAAGGCTTCAGGAAGATGGTCGATGGTCTTCGCTGTGGGTGGTTTCCATTCTGGGCAGGAACGAAGTTCTTTCCCAACTTGGGGATCTTTCATGGGACCAGAGACGAGATTAGAAAAGGAGCATTGAGTCTTCTAACATGACAAAGCGATTTAGCCTGGGTACTTGGCTAACATAGATTTAGAGCTAGCGATGGAATAGATAGTACATAGATTGCGAGTAGCACCACATTGTCCAACGGTATCGTCTTCCTATCAAGTATGACCTGTTTCGCGGCGTAGGGTCACTCTCTTGATCAGAGCTTTCACGGAATAGTCGACGGACCTCCCCTGTGCTCGCCGTAGCTTCGACACGATCGTATATAGATTCTATCGTGTTAGTAAAAGTAGCCTTTTTCCATTTCGGATCTTCAATATCTGTCCCGGCTCCAAGGTCTAACCATTTAGTAATTGTCACTGCTGTCCCATCCTCCCCACAGGCTCGGAGGACGATCTGAAACTCCACACCACAATGCGAGCATCGCATAATCTCTGTGAGTGGTGCCTCCTTCCAGCAAAGGTTTCGTTGCCGATTTGCAGGTCGAATCTTATCCTGAATACTCCCGTGGCCCACTCTCAACCAGTTGCAAATAAACCAGTTGTGGAGTACTGAAAGAGCAACGTCAAGACCCCTGTCGGAGAAGACCTGTAGATCATGGATGAGAACCCACTGTTGTATTTGCAGGACTAGCGATGGTCTTTGGCGAGCTCCAGCCGGTGTACAGACGCGTCCTTCCACTGATAATAAAGTCGTTCTTGCTGGTTGTTGAGGGTAATCAACCACCTCGGTGAAAGCCAAGGACTCCGCGTTGATCCCGCATCGGCCGCCGGAATGGTAATTTTGTAGGACAGCCACCAGGTGGCAGTGACGGAAGTCATAAAGGGTGGTCATACAGTGGACAGATAACAGCCATCTAATCGACGGTTGTGGACATTTTCTGTGCCAAACTCCCAGGTCCGGGCACCGATGACGGAAACCCATGGAGCGTGCGGGATGGAGGACGTCAGTGATACGATGCAACTTGGCGCAGTAGTGGCAGCAGAACATTTTTGGGAGGTCTCGGGTCAGTCTTGTGAGGACTAAAAGTGTTAAGGACTTGTCTTGGGGTAGCTTGAAGTCGTAAAAGCTTGTTGCGAAAATATTAAGTGTTCGGCTGCATAGGCTGAGGCAGATAATGTCAGCGGTTGTCAGGAGGTTACCGATGTGGAGTAATAGTTCGCGAGGTAGCAGTTCCAGGTTGGAAAGCCGCTTTTCGCGTGAGTATCGTGGGAACAGACGAGAGATCCAGTCTATTATGGGCATCTTGAAGGCGAAGTGTGGAAGTATGAAGAAGGTGAGACTGGGCAATGTGTGGGTGTGACAGTTCCTGGATCTACGTAGGCGGAAACACAATTCATGGTCCCTGCACGTGGTATGTAGCCTAGGGCTCGCAATTTCGAAACCGCGCCAGATTTCTATATCCGGAATTATCACTTGGAGACACATATGCACAAATTAAGCTGTTTCCTTGTGGTCGCCTACCCGAGGGGTATGATCCCAACATACAATATGTTCCGTTGATATCCTGAGGGTACGCTAGTACTGAAATAATATTCGCTACTCCACAGACAGCGATAGGTGAGAAAGATAGCAAGCGAAGAGGCATGCGTCATAGGTGTATCTACTCATGGTGGAAGGTTATTATGGTGTTTAGCAGTGATAGATAGGAAGCGGAGATATCACCAAATGGCCTTTCCACTTCCAGCCTGTTCTCGCTACTTGTCACATCCGTCGGCAATTCCGAGGGTGTCAGGCTAAGATATGCTAAGCCACAGCCTCGCCAAGCCGACCCTGAGTGACCCACCCGGCTGAGCGAGGCTCAACCGCGCATCCTGGGCAAAGTTTATGCTCCAATGCACCAGACTCGATCTGGCAGTGAGCATGGTGGCCCTTGGTAAATAAGAATAGACAGACCCTGCATGCTCATCCCCCATCTCACTTTTTTCTCCTATGTAGTTGACTCTGCCAGTCACTTTACAAAATGGGGTCGGGTGACACTGCTCTACGAGGGGAATATATTCCATTTCATACACTAAACGATGACGACAAGTCAGCCGATTATTCGCACAGAACGTCTCGTTCCTTATCCCGCAGCTTGAAGCATCTAATCCCCATTGTCTTAATTTACTGTTCCCTCCTCATCTTCTCATGGACCGTGACGTGCATCCTTACCCACCGTCCTCTCCTCTACCACCATTCAACGCCAACATGGGAAAGCGCGCGACAGCTAACCTGCGCGTCCCAGACGGTCCTGGGTGTCACCGACTCTGACGCGACTGCGACATTTTCCTGCAGCCAGAGAGAAGCGACAAAAGTAACTCTCACCGCAGCCGTCATCGCTGCTACACGCCGCTGGAGATTGGCCGCCCGGGTCGTTAACTCAGTCATGGCGGTGCTGACCATCCCGTTCTCTTCATTCATTGCCGCCCGTGCCGCCATAGTGTATGGCCAGGCCGCTGGGAATAAACGGGCATTCAGCCTCCGGAAATTGCTAGCGGTAGCTGATCGAGGATGGTGGAATCCCTTCATCCTTGCCCGCCTGTTTTCTGCTGGAGGTCGGCGGCGACTAGGCAGTCCGCTCCTATATTATTCATTCCTTGTTTGCGCTTTAGGTATGGCATGTGAGGGTGATGTGTAGGCTCTGCTGATCAAATCATTTAGGTGGTCTAAATTGGCCGCTGCAGCAGTTGCTCGTGTCAGAGGTGACCATATTGGTCGAGAGTTTACCCTCCAAGGTCATGCCGCTGGTTTCTGACGCCGACATCACCGGATTGTCTCAAGTGAAGTCCATCGAGACGGTTGGGGATACGAGGTCATTGATCAACTACGCTACTCAGTACGACTCTCAGCCAAATATCTGGCGGACACCCGATTCAGTCTGCAATTCATCTATGAGCTGGGCATATTCCTGCGTGAGTAACTCGAACCAAGGCGGAATTGCTACGCAGTTCTATCCTCTCCGCGGTAACAGTTCATTTGTCTCCATCCCCGTCAACTCGGTCACAACGGGAATAATAAGCGATCATGCCTTTCGGTTCAATACGTCCGTCGCCTCAGAAGAGGTATCGGAACAGAGCTATCCCGATAGCTGCGGTGGACCAGGGTCTTTCTCCGCGTCGACGCTTGCGAACCTGTCCGGTCTGGATGCTTCCTATAGAGTCCCGATCTCCGCAGATGGCACGATGGAGGTAAAGGTGTGCGCGCTGGGAGACTCGCAGATTTTTCCATGGAACCTCACTCGGAACCGCCAGGACATTGCCGAAGAAGCATACATTCACTTCGATTCAGTCGCCATGAGCTTCCTCACCAACGGATCTCGGATAGCCAGCTGGACACAGCGCATTCGTGCGAATACGACCGCGGGGTACTTCATGCTTCCTAACTACATGAACAACTACCAAACGGGTCCCTTGTTGGAGACGTTCGATCTTGCAACTAGTTTTGATCCAGAGAATTTCATCGTTGACCAGGAGGAGAGTATGGATGTGCGAGCCTTAGATAACTCACATGTTCTAGGGTAAGAACTCACTTTTATTGCTTACGAGAGGCGCTACCGCGACACCAGCCAGGCTGCCTCCATACCAGGCTTGTTTATGCCATACCCTACCTCCTACTTTTGAAGACAAGGTTGTTCTCTACAAGTGGCAAGGTGTTGCCTAAGCGAGGCCTAGTGTGGAGAAAGACTGACTGGTGTGGCAGTAGCGCTTCCCAGTTTGCTGTGATAATCTGCTCACATGGCTTAGATATGGTTATCCCGACCCCACGCCTGTCAGCTCACCAGCTCTTGGGCCTTTGCTCACAGCCACCAAGGCCCTCTTCGGCCCGTCCACGTTCTTCGCCAATCGTGCTAACTCGACACCGACTTTACCGAACATCACTTCCTTGTCATTGGACGAGTGCTCCGAGCCTATTCCGTTCACTTACCTCTCGAACACTAACACTGAAGATACTACCTCCTGGCGATACGCTACTCTCAAGCCCTGTGCATCAGACACCAACTCCACATACTTCAACGACCTGGCTGCCTGGCTTGGTCAGCTCTTTGCAAACTACGACAATCCCCAGACAACATCTGTCTTTACCCAGGGCGCCTTCTTTGCCAACAAGGCTAACCTGGGCCGCGCCTCAACTGAGCAGGCCTACCGCCGAATCCTCTTCAAGGATGACGGAACCTCTGTCGAGATCTTCGCGATACAACCATGGGCAATCGCATTTCTGTCGACCATCATTGGCCTGCATCTTGTCGGATTGGTGATCATGGCCTTCTACGCGGGATTGCATCCCACGTGGACGGAGTCCTTTGATGCATTTGCGATGCTAAGAATCGGAGTGCAACTTGCGGAGCGGAAGGATGTGAGAGCTCAGATGCCGCTGCTTGGGAACGCAAAGTGAGTTACTTTCTGATTAGTGGGATTCCGCGACTAACATGAGTGGCTTTAGGACGGAAGATACTGCGATTCTGGACCGTACGGACGGAATCATAGGGGAAGATATCGATGCAGTGGAGACTGAGAACGTCGGTCGGCTGGTCATGGGTGGACAAGGACAAGTGAAAAAAGGCAAACGCTACCTCGTGTTTCAGTAAGACTGCTCAGCCGAAATGAGTTTACGCTCTCCCGCCATTAGCAGCATATCTATCACACCTTCGGAGATCCACTATGGGTGGCCTGATCGACAACAAAGCCGCGTGTCAATTTGATTAACTGACACAGTCATGCGCGGTCCAGTCATCTATGCAACCATCTGGACGTCATCATGTCCCTGGTCTTTCCCAAGACCAACCGAGACAGGCACTGGGTGCCTTCATTCCAGCGCTACAAAGCACTGAAACCCAAACCTCTCCCTGGATCGCACACATGCACCAAGCTTCAACAGAGCTTTGAAAAAGCCTGTCGAGGCTCATTATCCCACTGCTAAATAGGCAGTAAGATATCATCACGCCAGGAAGGGATTAATACGGAGTACGCCCATACCTGAATGGAAGGATCAAGATATCAAAAGCCTTCCCCACCATCCCATAGACATGTGCAATAGAACAAGATCTCCATCTCAATCCCCAAGCCACTGGATGCAATGCTCTCTCTAGGAACCTACAAAGTCATAGCACCACAAATTTATTTGCATATAATCCCCTTATTCACTAGGATACTTCTAAATCCGCGGTATCATACCCAATACCTCATTGACCACCCCCTACAACTCCTCCACATTAGTGATCACACCCTACCCCTATCCGGATAATTAGTTCATGCAAGGCGTCTCCCCTGACCCTTTACTTCTCCAATCCTCTAATCCTTCTCTCCAAATTCCTCCTCGGTACCTCTTCCTCCTCAGGCTAATGAAACAATATGAAATCACCAATTCCCCTTTGAGAGGTAATTCGGGGAAAAGATTACCCCGGGGAAAAAAAAGGGGAAAGGAAAGAAAAGAAAAAAACGAAAGAAAGGAGCATAATTGCGAGGAGAACTCTAGGAAGGGAAAGGAAACCGAAACCGAGCATAGAATAAAAAAAGGCTCTGGCCCCCACGGTCCAGCGCATCCTCACCATGCATGTTCTCCACCAGGCGCCGCAGCACGATCCGCCTTTTAGCTGGTCCTACTCCGTATCCGTGTCCGAGCTTCCGTTCTCCGTGCAGAAGATGAGACAGCCTCTCAGCCCGTCCTAGCTTTGCCACAGCCACAATTGTTATTCCTGAATTTATACTAGTGCATTATGAGATATCCCTCGCCGATGCTTATCTCACATCTGGGAAAACCCTTTCTACTTCTTATATTTTAGATCATTTGTTTCCAAGGGTCCGCCGCAAGGCATTCCGTCTAGTATGTATTTTCGTCCACCAAGCGCTTCTCCTAGAGGATGTATCATGAACTTCTGCAAGTCAGTAATTTCATGAAAGACCAAAGGCCGCTTTTAGTAAGGGTGGTGGCAATATGGTTGGGATATTCTCACTTCAGAAATAATTCGAATGCTGCAGATCGGTTCGGTCATATATTTGGGAACGCCTCTTAGGCAAGGTCCATTTCGTCCTAACGCAGCGATTTAGGAGTCATTTGTGTCAAAAGAATGTCAGGGCTGTAGTACGTAAGCGGTACAACATGATTGTATGGCACATTCTCACCCGCTATCCAAAGCACGAGTATCCCTTGCATGATGCTGATAGTTACATCTGTCTGTTGCTTGAAAGAAGGGTAGAATGCGATTGTGGAATGCTATTAAGGAAAAAGTACCCGACGCCACCAGATTAAGGAAGTCATACGATGCT